AGGTCTATCTATAACCAGGTATCCAAGTTCTTGAGCAGCTTGTACCAAAGCTAACTCATCCGGGGATGCAGCTTGAAATTCAACATCTCCATTTTCTCGAACTTCCGGAAGACATGTATGACAAAGTGCAATGGACAAAAGGAAGAATTTGGCCTTCCTGGTAAATATACTATGAGGTTTACTCTGCATATAGCGAATCATTTCCTCTGTCCGGAATTCCGGTTGAATGCGATTAGGTTGCGCTGATGACCTCCACAGAGAACCAGATCTCCTAGGAATGTCGGTAGTTGGACTTGTTAATTCATCATCCTCCAAACGAGGCTTATCTACTTTTTTCTTGGAAAAGCGTCTAGCAATTCCTTTACCCTTATTTTTTGACTTTGATGTATCCTCTTTCTTTGCATCTAGCTCCAGCTTAGCCGCTTCTCGAACCAAATCAAAGTCATGAAGCCAAGCATACCCAGCAACACTGAGCTTTCGAAAACGCATAACATTATCAGTCAATGTGCCCGTCTTGTCGGAAAACACATAACTAATCTGGCCCAAATTTTCAAGAATCGTAGATGTATTTGAAACCATTGGAGTGTCCGACACAGGATCATACATCTCAACGTCATGCATGAGAAGTAATTGTCCAACCTTGATGATTTCCAAACTAACATAAAGCGAGAGTGGGATTAATGTATTAAAGAGAATGATAAAGGCAACGATCGAGTAGCTGAATTTAAAATGTGCTCCCTCTAAATACCATGAATTACTCTCAACATTACCGGACCATATTTGGTAAGCTATGGTACAGAATAAAGCGAGAATAACGACGAATACAACGAGAATGATGACAATATTATTTGCAATCTTTTGCATCTCGGGTGCTTTAGTTCGAGGATTTTTATTGGCATTCATTCTGATTTTACACTCTTCGCCAGTGTTAAGCACCATACCAATGGCATTAGATGTATTCCTCAGAACACTTCCTCGGAAAACAATCTCGTTGGTCGTGAGTGGTAGAGTTTCGCCATCAACAGTGACTCTTCCGTCAAAATTATACAAATCCAAGTTAGGATCTTCAATAACAACATGAGCATGACAATCGGCCAAATTTTCCACAGTTGAGCATTTCTCCACTAAAGAAATTGGTGGTGATTTTGTCTTTAAATTTGTCTCACCATCCAATGCCATGGTCTCAATGAATGCGATATTGTTTGGCCCATCTGCATGTAAAAGGAGAATATCTGCCGGTACCGCTTCATCCCGATGGAGTTTTATGATATCACCAACTTTGAGATTTTTCCACTTCAACGTTGCCCAATGCTTTGGCCCTGAAGCTGTCGCCTCGATATCAATTTCTTGTACCGTCTCAGGTGAATCGATACTTAGACCCTTTTTGACCCTATTTGATCGCGTACCTTTAGCTCTAACATGGGACTTCTCATTGATATCGACAGGTGTGTATGCGTGTAAGACCAATGTCTGATTGTTGTTCTCGACCTGGTCCAACTTGTAGCGCCGAACATCATCATATCCCTCCTTCGCCATACTAATCATGACGAAAACTAAAAGCGGGGCAATCGTGGTATAACTTCCCGTAGGTGAAAGTCCAGGTACCATTTGAAGAATGGAAACAAGTAAGAAATATGCATTGGCCAGTTTTGAAAATTGAAAGAAAAGCTGCTTTGGTATAAAATTCCATATTGTATATCGACTAGAGCGAATGGCATTGCCGATATATGGCACCCCAGTTCTCTCGTCAATTAGGGAGGCTCCCTGCTGGCGAGTAGCATCCAGATCGATATGTCGTCCATCTTTGGAAGGAGGAATTTCTCTTTGCCTGAGAAAATCTTTTAATATTTTCTCCTTGTAAAACCATAGAGACTTTTTCTTCGCTTTTCGGATAATAGAATCATTCCCCTTCACCTTGCGCACAAAGCGATCATAATTGTGTAATTCCCTCGTCCCAAAAGTCTTCTGATCACCATATTTGAAAGTTCTATTCGACTCCGTAGATTGAATATTCTCGTTTGGCGCCGCCTCAATTTGATCATGCACCGGGCATACCTCCACCGAACTCTGCGTCTTCTTTCCCCCACTTTGCGGAGATTCTGTTTCCGCAAGCTCGATAGTCTCCTGCTCCGATTCACTACCCAATCCCCGCGCAAATAATGCCCTTCTCAACGAATACCCTCTATTCCTTGCCCTCGGCGAAATTGGCGAAGTTCCTAGAACCCTCCTCCCTTGGCCTGATGTTGACGATGTACCATTTGCAGCTGTTTCCGTCGCCGCTATCCTCGTATCAATACTCAAATTCGGAGCCGCAGGTCTCAGACCAGAAGATTCAGCAAAACCCCCTCGTTCCCGTTCTCGCTCTCGTTCTAAATCCACCGAAAAGCGCACTCTATGATTCTCTTTATTTGTCGAAGGTGCGGGGCCCACCAGCGCCGTCGCAGATGGTGGGGGATTCGAACAGGATGATGATGAAATCTCGTCGCAGGACGACGGGCTCGTACTTCTTTCTCCAACGTCAAATGTCATGACTGCGATTCATCTGCCTCGTTCTTCATCGATCCCAATATTGAAGAAGACCTCCTCAGCTGCGTTTCGTTTTGGACTCCACCTCTCGAGCTACCAGTGAGTGACAGGTAGTGGGCGACTTAAATCTACCAAAAGTAAAGGTATAAAGAATGAAACCAGAACGACAATCAATAAGAACTTTTTAGAACTTGTGCGAAGCAATCGATACGAATGCGAAATAATCTACAAAAGCAGTGCGCAATAATAACCTTATGAACGAAAGTCAAAGACAAATCTAACAATCTGCCTCGCAAAAACAAAATAACAATTTATCAACGAGGAGAAAGATAGAAATAATACCGAAAAATTATCTGGTACACGAGTACATTGGTTGATGTTTCCAAATATCTAGTGAGGGAAGACCTTGATAGTAAATAATTAGGCAAAAGGGTAAAAGCGAAGGTTGAACTTGGCCAATTTTCTTCCCCCCATTCTGGCCAGGCTGTTTCGTCATTGCTGATTGTAGATCTGTTTTTTTAGCATTCTTCGTATCTTCCTTCCAGCATGCAATGCAATCAATGTACGTACGTGCCACTGCCCCTGCAGAATCGTGTGGAGGCTTATATTTATATGTTCAGCTAAAAACCATCACATATAACACGAACTTTTTCTTTTAATATTTTATACCAAAACCCATGTTCTTCTTTTTATATGTATACATTCATATCTTTTATTAAAATCCTTTGTAGCCTTACCAAATATCGTACATTATCTTTATTTGGGGTCATACTCTGGTACTTTGGTACGTACCTGATTGACTTTTATTATTTCTTTTGTTGTCCAGGTCAAAAACCCTCTATAGCCTTTGATTTGTCCATCACATTGTCCTTGGTATCTAGTTTCCGCCCCTTGAACTCTATCTAACATGTCAATATCAGAAATCGATTCCAGATTGATCTTTACGGATGTGATTTCATACATACTCTTAGAATATGGATACATACATAGTCTACAGTTGATATAAGAGTAACATCTCACATGCATATCATCACATACATCACAAACATCCGTGTAAAAACACCATGAATATTAATTAACCAGTTATATGCACATTTTCCCTACCTACTCAAGCTCAAGAAATAACGAAACGAAGTGAACAATTTTACAAAATAGATTTCCACTATTAAGCCCACCATGATTCATCAATCCATTGCCTGCACATATTGCGCCAGCCAGCAAAACCAAGCAAAATTTGTAGAACCCCCCACCATGTTATTGTTTCCACATTCAATATCGCACGCTTTCCCTCCTAAGCTTTCCACCATCCGTTTATATCTTCAATCCAACTACCAGACATCTCCATCGATAGGAGACTAATAAAAACAGTGAAATGAAGCTGATTGACAGACATCAAATTCGAGAGAGAAAGGCGCAAGAGCAAAGATATCAATGAGAAAACGATCGCTGTACCAGACAGGCATGATAGAATTGGGTAAAGTCGTCATGCAAGTCGTGGCGTAAAAACAGAAGGAAAATTTGGGAATATGAAAACAAGACTATGCTACAATGCCCAAAGCAAGTGCAAAGCCGAAAGAAGAATCGACATGAAATACCTAAAAAGACGGCCGTTGACACCTCCCCCATCCCGTGCGCAATGAAATTCAACCAACGCCACCCGCAATTCCTCCCAACAATCTCTAAGCAAAAATGGTTCCTGAAATGGAGAAATCGATCATCTCCATATCTGCCACCTCAAAATCGTTTCCAACCAAGGTCCGAGCAACCATTTCAGGCTCTCGGACAGTTCCAAAAGTATATTCTATCTACTGAGGCATATGCTCAGGTGAAAGGCCGTCGTGATCAACCGGGAATTGAACAAGGTTGCTCATATCAATATCAGCCGCAGATTGTTCACCGAAAGCTGGGGAATGAGGGTGCATAGGGATATTAAGAGAGTGCTTTTGGTACATCTCATTGAGTCCGGTACCATCATCAGAGATAGCTGAATCATTATGCATACTATAAACATCGGCGGAAGCGCTTCGGTGCATCATTGACATTGGTGGTGATTGGTCAACAATTGCTGGGTCACCGTGACTCATAAAGGATAGAGGGGAAACGGATGGGGGAACAAGCGAGGAAGGATCAGGCGACAGGTAAGGCATCGTGTATGATGTAAAGTTTGATGCTGGCATCGATGAAGAGGTCGGCATTGGTCCTGTCATAGGCCCATTTTCGTTTGCATGGGGAAAGAAACCAGGGCTGGCATAATCAGACGGGGAAGTAGTCGTAGCTGCAGACATAGGGTACTGTCTGAAATCCATTCCATAACCTGACGATGTATCAATTCGTAGATTAGGGCCAAGAGGTCCGAGGTTGTTTGGCTGCTGAGGAATAGGAGCGAAAATGTTGGGATTTCCATGCTGCTGTTGGTGCTGAGATTCACCGGGGTGTTGAATGAGGAATGACGGCATTGGATGATTGAACATGGAAAAATCAACAGCCATCGGAACGGATCGACTTCTTTGTCTTCTGTGACCAGGTCCACGCGCGCTAGGATGAACACCAATTCCCCACTGAGATTCTTGGAACATACCGACGTGCGCTTGCGCATTAAAGTTTGGTTGGGACGATGGGCGGAGACCAGTCGGAGATACAGGTGCTGAGACAGACAATGGTTGGTGTGCGAACGGACTATCGCGTGCGATGAAAGACTCAAGGGAGACGAGCTTGGCTAATTGGCCACTGAGAACCTTGGGATGACCGCCGAGATGATGAACCATGACTTGAGATGCTTGTTGATCTTCTGTAAAGTCACCACATTGATAAAATCCACCAGATCCTGATGAGTCCATGAAGAAGTTTGGCGCACGAATGAGCTCAACAACTAATCCACCAGGTCGCGATTCGTTATCTCCATTTTCCAGGTAGATATTTTTGATTGACGAAAATGGGTATTCAATCTTGTAACCAGCTTGGTCGTTATTGATGTAGTAAGTCATGGTTGATTTATCCGGTGAGTAAAAAATGATTAAATCCATGGCATTTTGACCAATTCGTCTCCACGATCCAATACTAAGCGATCGACACGAAAGGTGATGAATGACTATTTGACATCAGCACAAAATCATAACGTTAAAAGGCTTGGAATGGTACTGACCAACTTTTCCTTGAGGACCGTGATCTCCTCCCATAAGCATATTACCGCTACCATAAGGCATGAGCCCACCTCTGCCCAAGAAGTTACCTCCTAATGACTTTCCTGATTCCATTTCTTGAATCGCAAGGTATTGGCGCATAGCTTCTGGGATTTCACAACTCTCTCCTGTCTCGATACTCTTTTTTGCCATGAGCTTTATCTTTGCACGTCTGCGGAACTTAATTAGACCATGTGACGTGTACTTGATTAGATGAACTGACCTGTTTTGAAACCAAATTTGAACAGAGCGTTCAGTCATGTTGATGTCCTCCGCGATTCTCTCTCTGACGGTGGCTGTGGGTGTCGGGTTCTTGTTGAATTCCATCTCCAAAGTAACCAATTGATCTTGAGTGGCTCGTTGTCTCTTTTGGTTCTTTTGTTGTTGAGTTAATGTGCTCTTGCGAGGAGGTCTGCGAGAAGCCGAACTGCTGCCAGCCGAGTTCGACGCGGTAGGGGATGGTGTTGAGATCATCTTGAGGGCATCTTCTTGCGACATGTCCGACATCTTGAGTTCTTAGGACCGCAGTCAATTACGTTCGTATATTCCTAGTACTTGTATCTTCCCCCAATGTGTTGTATGTAGTATGACAAGCGATTGTCCTTTGTTGCACGAGTCTCAGTGATCGTCGAGATGCTATGTGCGTTGTATGCACAGGTTGTTTGTCAGGGTCGAAACCTAAGTGAGAATAAATAAAAAGGGTTATGAGTAAATCCAAATGGCGATGCGATGGATATATTTCAAACAAATGCTTCGCTGAATCTTGCAGGAAAAATAGAAAGGTATAGATCTTGGTATGTTTCTCGAAAGATTTGTGAATGCAGCGTGTTGGTTTATGAAGAAAGAGTGACAAAAGGTCAAGTTGACTCTTTTATTTTCTAGAGATTGAATGTAAAGACTGATTTTTGACGAAGCCGTATAGAAGGAGTGTTGAGCCGTTCACGACTTTATTCTTTCTGTGCTGAATAATTGTGAATCTTAAATGTAAATATGAATTTGAATGCTGAGAATCCGAAGGAGTGTAATGGACCCGAAGAATCCGATTAAAGGAAAGACGAGAGGGAAAGGGGAGAAAAGGCACAAGGGGGAAGTTGGGATAGAAAAGGCGATGATGAAGTTGTTTAAGAGAAAGAAATTCCACGATAGTGCAGCGAGAAAGAGGGAAGGGAAGGGAAGGGAAGGGGGAAAAGGCGAGCGGATCAATGGGGTGGGGGTGGGAATAGAGAGGAATAAATTTTAGCGTGTGTTAGAGTGGTGTTAAGGTGTTAAAGTGTGAAAGTGTTAAAGTCATTCGGTTGCCAGTTTCTTTCCAATTATTATTATTATTATTATTATTATTAGTGGCTAAACTTAAGTCTGACCAGTAAAACTACACTAAAATAGAGCTAATCCTTGAAACCCGTCCAGTGTCCACCCATCTACAACCCACAAGTGAATTTTGGGAGCACGCCGCAGTCGGGAGGAGAGTGAGAACTTTAGCAAAAGAGGTAGAACCTATCAGCATCTAGACAAAACAAGACAATGACAAGCACGTTGGTAATGTTATGGTAAGAGCGATGAGCAAACTAATGGTGCTAAGTGGTCTTTTAGGAGTAGATTCTTACATTCTTACATTCCCACCACCTATGTACTATGTAGCTTTAAGAAAAGAAAAGGAGAAGAAAGAGTACGTACGGATACGGACTAAGAGGAAGTGAAATCCCCGGTGAATGATTGGAAAGGATATATTCACGCGCTACACTCTATCTAGGTACCTACTGTCACTCTTTTCTCTTCCAGATCCTCATCTAAGGTTACGTTCAGTCCGAACCTCTATCTCCAACCAAAACTAATTCCTCCCTGAAAAGCACATCAACAACGCATGCAATTAATTGATTGCCAGTTCACACATCCACACATGTAGGTACCTCATGCAGTTCATTGGCACAGTGAATGGGTGGGGATGAGGGGGGTTTCTCTCAAAAATAGCAATGCAGTAGTACTAAATTGATTATGGTACCTGTGACTCTGCCGTCCAATACCATTTCTTAATTCCCATTTTATTTTGTTACGACCCATCTAAGATGGCATAAATCAACTGGTGAATTAATATACTCTATCCAACCATTTCCTATTTAGAATGATGGAATACACCGGTGCCCGTTGCAAATACTGCCTTGACATCCTCTCACAGTGTAGAGCATCAGACGTACACCGTAACAGTACTAGACGACGTGAAATCTTCTTCTCTTCTTGACCAGGATACTCACTCCGTAGACTCGATCCCTAGACTATTGTAGTATTCCTTCGGAAAATCATGCCCCCAAAGATGCCTGTGCGTGGCCCAGCTGTTTAGTCACCCTACACCAACACTTACACCCATGCGAGCACAGCCTAGATTGGAAAAGATCCAAAAAGGGGGTAAAAGACCCATGTAGATTTATTAGCACCATATGTATGAGTACGCACATATGTAAACTTTTTGTCCTATGTAAGTTATTCTTGCAGTTGCATGGCATGCATGGCTACAAAAAAAAATACGTGAAGAAGTGCAGCTGCACCATCATCAAGCATCCACCTGTACACTAACTACCCATCCACACACCAATTGTGTGTACAGAGTAGTGACTCTCGTCATCCTAGATTCTCCCGTCAAGCATGGGTGTATCCCTGAATTGTGTTGCAGATTCCGGACTTGTCAGGACCAGTACGAATCCTCGTTGGTGACGGGCAGCGAACACAACCGCCGCATTTTCTGTTTTGAATTCTTTTTTCGGTCTTTGCACATACGTTATGAATGTTACTGGATAGACGGTGAATGCCTTGGAAAGGAATCGGAGTTGGGCGTGTGAATAGAACCGTAGTGGAGTGGTGTCAATTGGAGGTCAAGTCGCACGATGCTCTTACCGTTCATTTTGAAGAGGACCCGTCTTCTGACTTCCTGGTACCGACCCTCTCCATCCGAGTCCATTCGCATCTCTTCCGTACCAATCATGATATTGCTGCACGTTACTCGATCACTTGGTAAAACCATAACAACACATGCAATCAACCGACCGAGTCATGCAAGCTGTACAGACAGTACAGTATAACAAAGTAATCCATACACTTCTTTTCTGACACTGGATATGAAGTGACAATTTGACAATGTTGCAAGTACACAAGAGACTGTAAGAAAGTAAGCTTTTCTACGAGTAAGTTTACTGTACCAGTGCAGGGAGTATGGTGAAGAAGATGATTTGTATTATTCGAGCAAGACTTTTATCTTTTTCTCTCTCCAAACAATTCATTTGAAGCCATTCAAAGTTCCATCGTGAAGTATTCATCGTCCCTGACGAAACATGTCTATTCAGCCACGATTTACCGCTCGAAGAAACCAATAAGAGGCGCGAATACCGAAAGCATAAAAAAAAAATGGGACGGAGAAAATCCATGATGGCATTGGCATTAAGTTGAGTATTAAAGTTGATCTCAAGACAATTAGCCTTGAATTAATTGTTTGGCCGGTGACATTTCTAGACCAGAGATAGGATAGTTTGTTGTTCTAGTCGCGAGCCGCACCTAGATGGAAATAGCGTATGCTTCGTACTGCATTACCGGCAAACAAAAAGGGTGAAGCATGCAACTATTGTACCTGCGTCAGCTACTCACTCGGCGATTGTGTGGGACTAACGTGTGGTTCATCTTTTTGTGCGTGGTTATGCACAATGCCAAAAGTAGGCTAGTTCCTAGTCGTGTGGGATGTTCTAGTCAGGAACGCTGCCGGCTTAAGGGGGAGTGGTAATAGGGATCGTATAAATTCACGAACCAATCCAAACCACTTACTTCACGATCAATCGGGATAGCCTTGTCTCTTCGATTCGATGGCTCGGTATCTGTCAAGAACTTTGGAAACCTCGGTTGAACAAAGCTAGAATTCAGTCAACCCGTCAGGCTTCAGCAACAAAAACAAAGTCCTCTCGTACCTAGGTACTGAAACAAAAGGATCAAAACCGGGCAGTGGAAAAGAAGCCGTTTTACGATCGTAAAAATCCGCATGGCTCCATTTTGAAGACAGAAATTATTCGACGCTAACCTTAGATGGATAAAGATACTATCTCTACCCCCACCAAGAGGATGCATAAAGGGGTAAAGGGCATTAGCGCATTTTTCGTGCGGAAAATTAGCCCAAAACATCAAACCGCATACATAGCATAAGCACCAGCATAATGTACAAGCATAGGATAAGCGGCTCACGTGTTCCATCCCATCTAGAAGTTTCTCCGATATTCTCGTGGATAAAGACGTTGATCTTTTAATATCACAGTTGAATTTCTTGACAAGAAACAAGACATTGCGAATTGTACGGAGAAGAACCGAAGAAGCTGAGAAGATCGACCCTGTAATATTTCACGGGTCATTTTACAATGAGGTGATCGCGGCCATTTATCTCGCCGTAAACATCCATGGTGCGCACGGGTATATATCCTATGCAAGACATTGTGGTGGCTAATTTTTACCTACGCCACTCTCACTAGGAGTTCAACCCTTCCAAATAATTCAAACTAACCTTCGAATTATCAGCACTTGTTGTAAAACTGGCTTCCTTTCCTTCCCGATTTGTGTGTATCGAGAAATCGCAACATCTATTCCTTTTGTATTAACCTAAGTGCAGGAGTGTCTTTGGGACCCACAGTATTTCTTGGCTAAGCAGCTCATCGTCGAGCCAAAAATAACCACACAAACCACTCAACCCGTCATGAAAATGTTATGTCATGTTCTTACTAGGATTCTCTATCTTTGCATGCCAAGTTCAGATGACAATCATTGCATGGTTTACCCTGCCCATGCTTCGTTTTCCCGATGCAGGTTATGAGACTTTTGTCCCCTCCCCACAAGATCTACTGCCTCCACCTGACTGTCGAATCGGAGTCGGATAAACTTCGAGAAGGACTTTTTGAGCCCCGGCCGTTAATATGATAACGGTTTCGATGCGTACAGTCTAGCTTCCGATTGCTCGAGTATGGGAAACAAAGCGAGACGAACTCGTTGTTTTGAGTAAACCTTAACTTCATCTCGAAACCAGAAACTTCAAGGTTCTCGGATTGTCTCGACCTAGAAAAGACTGTGGGGCTATTGCCTGGCGGAGGCTCTGACGATGGAACATACACAAGGAGGCTCGGTGTGTTCCAGCTGTTTGGTAATATAGTTACTCTTCAGAGTTGCTGCCAAGTACTACACGAAGTCTTAACCAGAAACAACGTCTACATTTGCATCCCGACACTACGTCATTTTTAAGATGCGTTCCGAGTTTGAGTTTTGGCACACGCGTAGCTATTTATGACAAACAATAGTGGGGATGAGAAACGGTGAGCCAGTGCTCTATCGGACATATTTTCATGCCTTCAGCAACGGCGCATCGTGAGCTGATTTTCGCAATGGCCTGGCCGCTTTTTCCATGCGACAATTCTCAAAGTTTGAAAATCTGGCCTATGGATTTCTAGTGTAGCCTAATTTCTGATAAGGGCTGGGCCTTATAAGCAAATGTAGCTAAGAAATAGGCTGGATATACTAGGTATGCTAAATACGCATAAGACACGACAAAGATTAGAATATCCGATGAAATTTAACAAAGGTCACCAATGTTGGCCTGTAGCCAGGAGAGTTGGAACCCGCGCCCAAATTCTCTGAAAAGTAACACAGTGTTCCAATACGAGACGGCTACAAAGTCCCCTGGTGTATTGTGGTGTTGTGGAAAATAGGAAATAAATCTAGGAATATCGATGCCAATGGGTCTCAAGCAGCTGAATAATGTTATTCAAGGTCATTAGAATCGTCGCTTCACACTCTGCAAAACTGCAGCAGGTCCAGCCATCTGCTAAGAACGCCGGTTTAGTTTAGGCCATAGCGTAGCATATAGTGCAGAACGAGTACACGAATTGTGAGGAAAGATGCAAGCAATGTAAGACACAGAGCACGGAAAGTGAAGGGAAGAGGAGGAATATGTCGGCTTTGTAAAATGCTTTGTGGACAAATTTAGTTCCTTGTAAGCTCTATCATCCTCGTAAACAAACCATACTCAAGCTGCCCATGCTCGCCATTTGATCATGTGGCTGTTGCCATCGGCTGAACATTGACAAACAATCCCTCTTCCATAACATATCTATTGTGAATGCTTACTGTTATCTTTCCCCTCATGTGACGATCAGAGTGAAGGTGCTTAAGGTGCTTCAAACGCCTTAACAAATCTCCATACCCTTGGGTCATTTTTCTCTAGGTGAGAGTGCCATAGGCCCAACTAGCGCACTATGATACTTTCGCGCAGTTTATTGACAGAATGAAAACTCAAGGTATAGCAAAGCAAGGAGTCATTTTGGTTAGACGGCATTGAACCGGTCTACTTTTCGAATGGACTTGCTGGCTCCGGCGCCTCGTACCCGCGTCGAATCAAAAATCCAGCGAAATTTTGCTCTAATCTTGCAAACTAGGGGGCACACCCATCAGATCAAACTTGAAATCGTACCTATGCTACTTACCACACTTGCTTTTTCCACCGGTATAACCCCATCTTTGATCCATACAGAATAACTACCCATCAGATTTGCCATCATGATATCAGTGGTAAGCCTATCACCGACGACCGCTATTTGGTCTGGTCTGGTGACTCCAGTCTCGGGATATTTTGAAAAGTATTCCATGATATCATGACCGCAACCAGGCTTTTTAGAAGCATGAGGCAAAACAGGAACACCTGTAGACTTCTCAACTTCAGCAGCAAGCTTGCCAGAACGATCTAATGACTCAGCACCGGCTGTGTTAGACACAATCAGAAGCCGCCGACCTGGATAAGCTTTCCGAAGTTTCTTGAAATTGTCCTATTATAGATTAACATCGGACAGAGATTCATGACATACATCGTTTGAGAAAGTGAAAGGAGGTCAGATGCAACAAGCTTGATGGAAAGAAAGGCAAACACATGTACACTGGAGCACGGTGCTGAGCATAAAATAAGAAAATTTAAAAACCATTAAATGTACTTGCAAACATACATTGTAAGGCTCATGAATGTCATTCGACTTAGGATATGCGAAACAATTATCCTTGTCCAGCACTACAGCTCTAATATCAGCATTTTGATATTTGCCAAAGGCCGAATTGAGGGGTATCGGCAGGTGGTTGAAAGTGGAAACCGTTGCTTGAGGTAAAATCAGCGTCGGCCTTGCAAGAAGACGAAATATATTCACCGTCGCTGATATATTAAGAGTATTCATATCCATTGATGTGATTCCTCGTAAATGGTTGTGATGTTCGGAGCGGAACAATAATTTTGAGAAGGGTTGCTTGAGGACGGCGAACGGAATTTGCCGAAAGCTTCAAAATCACTAGCGCCAAATTATTCTGAGCGATCCAAAGCTTCAATCGGACAGTGACATTCACGCGCGCCGGCTTTCAACAGGTTTCCGCAATCACCATTTCTCTCTACCGGATTATTTGTGATAAATTAGATATCTAGCAACCATGACAAGCACAATCGGAATACCAATTAAGCTCCTGAACGAGGCCCAAGTTCGTACATTTCTTTCCTAGGCTTCAAGGCCCAGCGCTCAAGACCCTTTGACCTTAGCTTTGGCTTCAACATCTGCTACGTTCGCTGCTAACAATTACTGTTGTTAGGGTCATGTCGTCACTCTCGAGATCACCACTGGTCAGGTCTACCGTGGCAAGCTTTTGGAAGGTACGACCGTCCATTACTATTCTCGAGCTCTTTACTTTCAAGGGCGAAAGGAATTATGGAAGAAAGGAGTATGCTGATCCAATATTTATAATAGCGGAAGACAACATGAACGTCCAACTTAAGGATATTACAGTCACAGCGCGCGATGGTCGTGTCAGCCACTTAGATCAAGTTTACATTCGAGGCTCGCATGTTAGATTCTTTATTGTCCCGGATATGCTGAGGTTAGTCAAGAACAAGATAACTGTGCCGAAGCGAGTTGCAGCTGCTTGGGGTTGTTTCCATAATTGTGGGCAAGACTGACATGCATACAATAGGAACGCGCCCATGTTCAGGAGTAGAAATACCAGAGGCAGAGGTGTAGGATTGGCAAGAGGAAGGGCCACAGTTAGCAGGGCAAGAGCAAGCGGACGAGGAGCACCAAGAGGATGAGAGACTCATGGAAGATGTGGATGAAAGAATATTTTGTCAAATGTCGGCGTTTGAGGGGAAATTTATGATTCATTGCAGAGCCAAGTTGGGCGGAAGAGAGCTCCAGAGGCTCAAATATTGAGGATGACCCAGTGCACAAGCATTTGGGAATGTGATTTTTCAACTGCTGGCAATAAAATAGAGCAAAACAATGAGGAGCATTTGTCCATTGTCTCAAAGCCCAAAAATAACTGATGTACTGTCTCCGTATCTTATTCCTAAATGAATCTGTCTGGTGACAAAGGAAATGACCCAATAAAACATTGGTAAAGTTCGGATCGGGCAAATATACTTCCGACATAAACATCAACTGCCCGTTCTTGCTTGCCGGAATACAGACAACACATACGATCAACATAATAATGGAAATTTCACATCCACGGCGCATTCTAGCTGTCAGTAGACCAGACTCGGGTCTAGTAGATTTACTGAAGGGTTTGAATACCACTTATACCATCTACACGAATCTGAAATTGACTTGTGTTCCCAGGTCTCACGGGTTCTGCGCCTGATCTCTCGGGGGACTCAATTGCTGGTACTACCCATGAGTGGTCTATCAAGACCAACTACTACACTGCAAGCGTCCCAATATGGCTTGATGAGATACATGAGCCTGAGATATGGTGTAAGGAATTTTTGGCACCAGAAGCTCGAGAAGTTTTGACAGTACTTGGTGCCTTTATTGTATGTTTTCGAAAGCCAATCGATGAAGCCGAGTTGCAAGCTTTTAAGATTCTTCTGGAGAGTGTGGCCGAAGTTGTGAAGGAAGGTTGTGGCTATACCTGGGATGGTGTCTGTTTAGCTGTGGCAATGCCACAGTCCACGACTCCGTGCTTGGAGAAGAAGTTCGACGAGTGGGAAGATTTATGCCAGGAGCATGGTTTTGAGTTTGTTGACTTTGAAAGTAAGGGTAGAAATGAATACTCAGGTAAAGTTATTCTTCCAAAGAAGTTTGCATGTTGTATTATTGACATCCGTAGAACCTATGGGCCTCGAAAGGTTGAAGGAAGCTTTAGAAGCGAATGAATGGGATGGAGGTGACGATGACGGGGAAGGAATTGATTTAGGCGATCTCGAAGAGGATGGTGATGACGATAAAAGTATTGGATTTGGAATCGAAGCAGCTGAGATGGAGATGGAGATGTTCGGTATGAAACAGGCAATTCAAAACGAGTCTACGGAAAATACGGGCGCCGATGAGGAAGATGAGAATGAGGATGGAGTAGAACAGCTTGAAGCTTTAATGTTGAGGATGCAAGCAGTCAAAGGTAAGAGATTCGTACTCAATGGAGGAATTTCTCACTAACATAAACAGATATGGGAGCGGATTTGCCTGAAGCGGAGAGGAAAAGGTTTGCTGCAAAAGCCGTTAACGATTTAATGAAAACGTTATAAGATACAGTGCTTTCACAATTGAGCAATGTTGCGACGACGATGGTCTTCTTTCTCATGCGAGACTCTCTTCAATCCGGGGATTGAGGATTCCATATATTTTGCCGCATGCCAATTCCCGTGTGCGTTTTTTCCGCCGAATGTATTATGGTCCCAGGCCTTTCATAGCATTTCGAAATCCATTCAACCCGGTTAGCTCCATCCTTGGTCAATCGATCAAAGCCCATTGTCTGCAGACCGCCTGGATTTTCTTTTGTATTCGAAGCGTAGCAAGTAGTTTCGTGCAGAAAACCGTATTTTCGGGGTCTCTGATATCTTTTCCCAACTTCTACAACCCATGTTGAGTTATATATATTCTTCGTTTAGCTTCATTGAGTCAAACCACCGCAATAGTCAGGTGTTGTATCATGCCTGGTATTACAGTGTTTTCTCCCTGATGTTGTGACGCTTGTTTTTTTGCCGTCGCTTTGATCGCATACTTTTTGACTGTAAGTTTTTAGTGAATTCTTTGTGTCGAATTTTGCTCTCGCTCAGCATCTTTCAAACTTAGCTGATGTAAAATCTCAATCTTACCTGAGTAAGCAAAGTCCTTGACACTCGTCAATTCTTGGAGGCGTTGTTAGATTGGTTGTATCGCTAAGCATTTTACTTAGTCGAAATAAATTTAGAAAACCCTGCAGCAAAAATCGTCTAATATCAAGAATCAAGTAAGTCGAATGTGCTTAGCCATTCCCAAAGAAATTGAATATTTCTTCTTAGATTTCAGTATAGCCATGTTGACCTAGAAGATTTCCGCTTGACCAAAAAAGCTCCGTCGATGATGCTGCATGTGTTCCTTTACTCAGCACGTCCGCAAACCACCTAGCCATGCTCCTTTTACTATTCTCAAAGTATCAGCATACTTTACCGACCGTATTTATTTCCTAGAGTCTTACCATTGGATTATTACGATAATCGATACAGCTTTCAAGCTCTCATTTTCAGCAATAGTGCCAAAAGTCGTAGTTTGGGATCCTTCTATGTCTTCAAAAGTCTATACAAGCAACTAAACCCCCACTACCCTCAAGTTTTGTATTAGTTCCAGTGTTCCTCATTTGCTCCTTGCCTTGTTTCTCGTCCTGAGACTAACAAAAGCTCATGTATTTAGTTCTCACCAAGCTACCAAGTCTTTTAGCATCAATCTCGAATACACGGCACATGTAGAGTACCTACGAGCCCTACCCATGAAACTGCCCGACTCTGCGAACCTTCTTGTCGTTGTAGCACAAATGGTCTATGAATGGTCCGTGAAACCGCATCATGTCGCGCCGAGTAAGCTTTCTCTAGTCGGTTCTCATTACAAGTACTTCTTCCGGCACTCCATCATAACCTTGCTATCGCCTTCCCCAATTTCGGCTTGTGCCGATGGAGTAGCTAAGTGTTTTTGATGTGTAACTTATTCATCAATCACTACCAGTGGAGCGAGCCCTTTATGAAGATCACTACTTTGCTTCTACTTTGATGTTTATAGCTCTTTAACGACCACACTGTAGAATACTACCCCTATCATCTAGTTGCAAACATTCCTCACTATTCGAAGCCTTTCAAGCGACAGAGACATTTTTGCTATATGCCATCGCCCTGCTAAGGAGATACAGTATTGGATGCAATTCTCTGTGAAACTCTCTGAGCACCACTCTCCCTCGGGTCTCAGGTAGTCAGTCTAAAGCTTCAATTAACATTTGGCCAGCTGCTACACTATGTCCTTCAATTGTAATGCTATATAACCTTGATTTAAAACACCCTTTACTATCTAACAGAAATTGTGCCTTTCACGTCGATATTTAGCTCTTAGGGGGACAAGTTTATCTACTCGCTTCTACGGCGCTAGCTTAATACTCTATAATTTCAGCTATCAAGTGATCTTCCTTTGCACCTCAACAATTAGACGAATCACGTCTGCAATGGTAAGCAAGAGTAGTCGCTGTCTCGAAATCTAACAGGAATATATAAAATCATCTAATATGATGTGACCCATGAAGAATTTGATTCACTTCTGATATAATATACCACAGTCATTACTCACTCCTAAACCCTTTTATGGATCGTACCATACATTTCCTCCCACCTCTTAGACCAGCATCTTTCAAGTTATTTCAGTACAACCTACCCTTGACATCTACAACAATTATTCAACGCTTTTTGATGGTGTATTAAACTTGGAAAGCTTCCTGAGAAATTTATTTCATATTTTGACACAGTATCCGAGTATAGTCCTTTTGAACTCTTCAATTTGAGATCTTCCTTGACGATTGGAACTATCGTGATCTAATTTGACTCAAGAAGAGTGTTTACTTGACTCTTGGCCAATACACAAAGACTTTACGTCAAGGTTATCGCTGGAACTATCTAAGTTCGAACTTGTGCGGTATAAAGTATGCGGAGTTTCGTCCATACCCCTCCTTCATTCCGTTTTTCGATGGTTCATCTTCACAATAATAACTCTTTCTTGCTAACATGGCTTCCTCCGATCTCTAGATCTATTCGCCTCCGATATACGACCATGCTTCGCTCCAAATAAAAAGCCCGACCCCTGTTTCTGATCATTCTCTCCCTGATATTGAAATCTTCTCAATCTTTCCATTTCCTCTCCACCCTCCTCTCCACCCAAGCCTCAATATTACAGTAAATTCGTTATCAAGGTCCTCTTGATCTTGACTAGCTCGAAAATTCCAAGATCGCCTTTGAAACAAAAGGTTTCTCGACCCTCATATCACGTCTAATTCTAAATAAATGCCATAAAAACTCTCGAACCGCTCCAAATAGAAGCTTTTACATACTTGAGGCTGTCTCCATCATTTTTCTTACTTTTACTACCTTCGATACGCACATCTCCTCACGTTACCCTGCTTTCAACCCAATTCTGAGCGACCTCGATCCAAATCAAAGACTATACCTACCCCTGAAGCTACTTTGGACTTTTTGAACGAATAGTATTCCCTTGTTATGTAGCTAAAAAGCTGCCAGCATAGAAGCTTCTTTCCGGAACCTCGTAGGCACTCCATCTTCTTTAGCGCCCACAAAATCTCAAGTTTGACTCATTTTGAAACTCTTGCTAATCAATCTTCCCCGCCGAAACAGTCGACCATACAATATCCATCCTCAAAGTAACCCTAGCGCGATAACAACTTTGTTGCAACAACTAGACGGAATAATTGACCGTTGCGTTCCAATAAGCCGTGCCCTTGCCGATTCTTCGCAAGAAAAGGACTTCTAGAAGTACTTCGGGTAGTTAATTCTCACTTATTCATAAGGTATGATCTACTTTAAACTCTTTTCAGGCCATATCGTCGCCGATCTTACTGTTATTATGATAGCTAATTGATATTTCACAGTCTTATACCTCTCCCGTCCTCCGAGGAACTCAACTCAAATATAGTTCTGTTTGTCCTCGAATATAAGCCACCACCCTACAACAAGTCTCGGTTATCCTTGTGAATCACATTCTGTAACACCTATTCCTGTCAAACTCAGCAATACTACAAGATGGGAGGCAAATTCTGGTCTAAAGAAGAACAGACATATTTTGAATGCGAAATTATGCCTATGTCTCGCTTCAATGGACCTAATGGGACGTACAATCCGAAAATAGGCAAGTCCTGGGCAGAGCTAGCAATTAAGATGCAGAAATACCTGGGTGGTGAAGGCCTCGCCCGTAGAGTATACACGGGAAATATGCTTTATGAGCATTAGTGCCAGACTGTTAGGAAAGTTTGGGGTGCGATTCGCGCCAAGAACGCTAGAGACAGTGCCAAAGCTGGTGGCCGTGGCGCTGATAAACAGCCACGAACGACCCGTAGCAAGAAGGCGAAACAGAGGACTAATAACACGCCTCCTCCATCAGTAGTTCCCCAGGAGCCCGATCGCCTCTTGATACTTCCTACAAGACCGCGAAATGAAGCCACTCCTTCTCAAAGTCCTTCTCAAAGCAAAATGGAACCTCCACGCTACGCCCAAGGCAATCCTCAAATCGAACAAGTCTTTGCTTTTGGAAGTTCTTTTCGAGAGTCTGAAGGCCCAGACATGGCTCAAAGACGCTATACTGATCCTTCAGTAGCTTCGAGCCAATCATCAAACCGTCGGTTTCACACATATCGAGCCCCTGATAGACCATACTTAACCCATGCCGAAGGCGCAGAATTGTACCATCAACAACATCGTTCTGGGTGCCCTGGGCGTGAAAGATTCCGTTTCTCCCATGAGCAAGAATCTCGCAGCATCGCAGCCTTTCACCAAGTCTTAGCCGGTCAAGAACGTCAGACTATCGTTATCAGAGAGCCTACTCCGGAAAACGATGAACAAAGCCTCTTTATCCAACAATCTCCGCCAGAATTCAACCGCAGACTTCCCATTCCGCGCCCTAATACGGAGCTAGATGCCGCTCATACCATGACGATGTTCCGTTCTCAAGAGATGACCACACTACGTGGTACTACTTTGACTAGCCGTCAAGATCACACAACTACCCATTCTTTGTACCAGGCTCACCCCTATGAATATGAGTCTCAAAGACATGGTGCATTTCCAGGATCTTGTCTCGCACCGATCATTTCTCGTCAAAACACACCACGTCAAGGTGAAATCCAGAGTCAATTGGACCAATTGAAGGATAATAAGAAAGAAAAGGAATAGTAAAGAGAATTTCGAGATGATGCAGGATAGTTTGGGGGTTATTTGTGTTATTTTTACGTTGAAATTGGGTTATTTCAGTAGTCTTTTAGGCGTTTTTCAGACACTTTCGAAGGGATAAAGAGGTTTTTGAGAATTTTTCTAGATAGATATTCATGATGAAATGAAATTGCGTTGCTTCCTTTAAAAATTTTCTACTATGATTATACGATGATTTTGATCGAATTGCACATTTGTAGGCCTCTAGAACTTATTACCGCTAGCTTGTCCAACTACTAGGTTTTGAGGGGCCACAGGTCTTCCGGTGGGCCTTAAACGTTTAATTGGTCAATTCGCTCTATTTTGTATTTAAAATAGTCTTCATTTGGTCAAAATAAACATAAAATGAAATCATATATTCATTGGTGAGCCCTAAATAGATGTTCGTTGATTAAAATCAAGTCTCAAGTGAAGTCTTTAAAAATTGGCTTGGAGAAAATTTCTTGAGAGCCACAACTAGAAGACAATATATTGATTAAACGAGTTGAAGATAGAGGTCCTAGACCATATATCTATAATTTGAGATTAGAGTATATAAATACCCAACTCGTAAGGAGTAATAAGTAATCTATTTTTAGTTTAAGATCAGATCAAGAAAATAGTTCTAGTTGTAACATAATGACATAACTCTATCTTAATAAGTGAATAAATTAATCTCACCTACACTCTAAACACAAATCATCAAGTTGATATGAAGGCACTTTCCATACCCAGGTATGATTAGTCCAAGTGAACCTCTATTTTGGGCGATTAGATGCGGATAGATACACATTTGATAGCTACTTAGCACCTTATTTTTTGTTCAGCCTGTCTTTTTAATCATAATGTACTGTACTTAGTTGTATATAAGCTAAGATATACAAACAATTCATAGATTACGAATTCTACTGGATATGATAATATCCTTCATTATTTACTGGCCAGTTAGTTATTGTCTGTGTTAATACTAGGAGATTGTCGACTTTTCAATCTCGACAAAGCTCCTTTTTTGCTCCATTGATGTGAAAGTCGTCGAGGTGTGTTTTGAGTTAGCTAGGCGGGTAGCTCATCATCAATTACCCCGTTGAATATAAGTTACAACAATCTGTTAATTCTCCATATTCATGGAGAATGCAAGGATGGAAGATAATTTGCATAGATAAATTGTTTCATAAGTCCTATCTGCAGCTCAAAGCAAACAGAGCATTGCACACATCTCAAATCGAACCCCTACTTCTGCTCAATCCTCCTAACATACCCCATCAACCTCTCACACAAAAACTTCCTCGGACCCGCCTGATCATCATTACTCAACGCATGACTCGCCCCTGGAATAATAGCCGTAAACTCATCATCCCAAACACTCTCTCTTCCCCCATGATCCGCAGCATCCTTCCACCTCTTAAGTAACTTTTCCTTATCCACCCAATCCGGCACCGCCTGATCAGCCCCAGAATAAAAAATAACAAGTTTATCCCTCAACAAACCCCTTTCTTTAATAATCCCGAAAGTTCTTGCCAATTGCTCATCACTCAGATCCGAGCTGAATAAATCATCTTCCTCAGGCTGTTGGGGACTTTTGGGACTGGCGAGACTCATGAACCGTCGACAGCTAATTGGTGTATTACCGTAGCCGATTTGGGAGGTGAGGGACATGGGGAGGATGATATCGATAGATTGATCGCGTTTGGCTGCATCTTTTGCTATTTCTTGGATTTGTCGAAATGCGGCTTGACATTCACTTGAAGGTCTTTTGCCAAGTCCATCTCGTAGGACGGATTGAATGGCTTCGCGATCTGAAATGGGTGCTTGCATGATTGCACCGTCGAGGATCGGACGCGAGACATGTTTGAGATGGGGATCAAAGATTGGGGTGGTGGTGTGAGGATTGGGTTTATGGAGATAGTGGAGTACGAGTTGAGAACCGGTCGAATGACCCATTAGTATGGTTTTGCTGTTTGGATATTTGGAGCTCTTGTATTCTTGGATGTAGCGGAGACATTCTGCTATTTCGTCTGAATCGCGATCGAGATGTGATGTTCCCCATTGTGCGTAAGATGATGAGAGATTGAGGGAAAAGAGGGACCAGGGGGTTGGTTGTAAAGCTGTGGCTATATCGGCCATGAATGATGTGGTTGCGAGGCCATCTCCTAGTCCTCCTATGAAGAGAAGACTATGGGGTTTAGGGATGCTCCCGGATGTATACTCGAATGTTACGAGGGTTTCGGTCTATGTTTTTGTTAGTACAATGTCTATAATCATCCAGTAGACAGAATATATACATACGTAATGATGTAGGATACCTGGAAGGCCACCTTTGGGCCAGAACTTAGAGGCCATTGTGAGATGTTCGGGTGATATTGAGGATTATTGTATATTCGGAAGAACAGAATACAACTGAGTGCGCGCGTTGGTATTCAGAAGATCGGCGAACGGTTAATGTGGCTACGCTACTGGCCAAGTAAGTTCTCCGTGAAGAAAAGTGGGATGGAATTTTCAGTCAAGCAAACATCCGTGTCCAACAGAACATGGATCTTCTAGGTTAGATATCTCAAATTTATTTTCTAGAAACCAACAATACAACCAAAAATTGCGAGATCGGATGTTTTTAGATGCAAGTCTGATTTAGGATAAAGGAACCATCTATCCCCAGCAAAAGAACACGAAAATCAAGGATAGATAGCGAAAAAATGCTGATTTGAGCGGATCAGATAAGATTGTCTGTAAATTAATCTAATCAGATGACGCTAATGGGATTCGCTTGCATGCAGAGGGAAAAAATATCTTATCCGAGATTACCAATGAGGTTGGTGTTATGCTGTCATTTGGACCCGCCGTGAAAGGAGTATACGTAATGAATATTGGGTAGATTTTGGAGTGCAGAGCTTTGGTATTTGGCGGTTTGTCTTTATGAAGTGGCATTGGAAATACGGTGATGGATATTCTAATGAAGTTCGTGACAATATTTCTGAGAATGGATTGATAATCTGAGGAACGGTGATATCAAATCTCTCGAGTTACAGCAATGAAGTTGGAGCAGTACATAGTCATGGAGAGCAATGCTGCATGTGTTAATGGTATTCAGCCCGACTAAACACAATATGATAAAATAAACCCTCGGAGCTCACGTACCTTACAAGGATCACAAAAACGACCAGATGGAACAATCTACAGGGTATACAAAAACTTTTGATATTATGACATGTTGATTACGAGGACCTGCCACCGGTCTCAAAAAAGCGGTAAATCCTGTAGGATAACCATCTGGCATTTAAAATTATATGACTGATTCCACATCTAGAATACCGTACCCTTGACTTGAGTCTTTTGGGCTACATTGATATTTTTGATCATCATAACCCAAACAAATGCAAGGCCAATAATCACAGTTCCTGCAATAAGCATTCTCTCCTGTGCATATCCATATGCATGTTGAATGGCGATTCGAGTCTCGCTTCCTACTGGATAAGTGAGTTGAGTGGCGAGATCACCATAAATGTTGTCGAAATCTGCCATGGCTGATTCGGGAAGGTATCTCTCCAAAGCTTGGGGGAATGTGTTTGTCCAGATGGCACCGCAAATGGTGTTTCCAATGGCGCCACCGATGTTTCCAACGACGTAGAGTAATGCGAGAATAGCGGCAACGTGTTGATGGTCCGAGGCGGCAAGAACTGCGAGTTGTTCCACAATGATGAATACACTTCCGCCGATCGAGATGAATATTTGACACATAACAATGTAACCAATGCTTTGGTGGGGTTGACGGAAATAAATCATCAGGCCTTGAGCGAAGACGTAAATTGGTACTGCGATATACAGAAGCCACTTGAAGTATCCGGTCTTGCGAATTAACAACCCAACGCCGAGGAGGAGGATACCAGAAATAACATCGAACGTATCGCTAACATATCCAGCCTCCGCCAAGGTTAAGTTGTTAACAACTTGTAGGAAAGAGGTGAAGTAGCTGTTCCAGCAGTAGTAAGAGATTTGATAAGTCAAATCTAGCAGACAGGCGCCAATGACAGTTCGATTTGCTAAGAGGTTGACGTTCAGGAAAGGTGCTCTGGCGAGGAATACTTCGTAAAGTGCAAAGATGACGAGGACCACGAATCCAACGACGATCATAGCAATAATGTAATCCGTTCGCCAACCGTTTGGCGCAGTATCTGCAAGAGTGAATGGCAGCAAGAATACCGTGAAACCTCCAGCGAAGAGCAGAACACCAAAGGCTGTACAATTGTCAGAATAATGTCCTATGTGAAGATTAGTGGAAGAAGCATGACTCACCATCAAATTCTACCAGGTAATGCCAGATGTTTTCTGCAAGGGTTCGACCACTGCTCTCTCTAATCAAAACACCTTTATTCTCTGCCTTTTTGAGATTCATCTTCAAAATGAAGTACAAAGGCGCTGCTACGAATGGCAAGATGATAGCAAAAGTTCCAAATCCCCACCTCCAGCTGATATTATAGTAATAATCGTCAGAAACTTTAGGTCCCGCAAATGCTGTAATGATGTATGGCGAAGAAGTGAAAGCGTATGCAAGACCTCGATTCTTCAACTTGGAAACATCAGCGGTGATGACATCAATACTATAAATCAAACCTCCAAAGCCGATGGAGTAAAACACCTAGAAATTATTATTAGTATGTTGGGAGGCACAAGAGCCAGTCCGACAAGATAGCACGTACCTGCGCAGCACAGAAGGTAGCAATGCCATTGCAAGCAGCCATCATGATCAAACCGATAGTGGAAAACAACACCATGAGAAGAAATCCCTCAGCACGACCCCAGAGATCTAGCATCTTCGCAAGCGGAATGTAAATTGCGGCTGTCATAGCGTTGGCAACGATGTTGATGACAGTGATCGAAGAATGCGATTGAAATGCACTCGTGGCGAAAGGGATAAGATTGTAGCAGATTGAAGATTGCATGGCATTAACAAAGTAAAGTAACCACATGCTGTCATTGAATAGTTTAGTCGCTACGTCCGTACACACGACAACGATAAGTGTGAACTTACAGCATGAAAACGCTGACAAGGTATGGTTTAGTCCATGTCAATGCCACCGCCTCTACTTCTTGAACACCACGTTGTGCAGTTTCGGTCGGTAAAACATCCTTTTCCACTTGCTCTGATATTGGTCCATCACTGGCATTGCTTGGAGAGATAGTATCTTCAGTACCGCTAACTGCAGGATTCTTTTCATTCGAAGACGGCATATCAGCCATAGCTACTTCTGAACTTTCATTAATTATATCCTCGGTAGCCCTTCGACGGTATCCAGGCCTGAATTTTGCGAATGCTGGCATAATTGCGGTTGGTCGACGCCGCAAGAATTTGCGGATCCCAATGGAAAGTGGTTCAGGAAAGAATTGGAATGATATAGGAACTACAAAACGATGGGACAACCACGGAAGGAGGCGGTCACTACTAATACTTGAATCTCGGCCTACCTGTCAATATGACCTATCCACATCCACATGCACATCCACCATGGCTGTAGCTAGGACAAGGTCCGAAATTGGCGCATGCTGCCGTCTGCTTGGGGCTGCCAAGATTATTCCCACGGAGTCCCACCGGTTAGTGATATAGAACGAGCCTTAGTATGAACGAGGATGCGAGTAGATCATCAAATCCAACAAGATAACGCACACAAGATAGGCTGGTAAAAAGCAAATAAAACGACAAAATTCCTTGTAAGATTGGATGCACATTGCAAACGTCAATTAATCCTTTTTAAACGCAGTTCCTCCTACGAATGGAATCATTCCCGAATGAAGAGAGGTGAATGAACAAAGATGGGTTAACTTGAATGGGTCAATTATGTTGACTACTAAATGGTTACACATAGTTGATTAGCTGGCTAAAGTCAACAAAGTGGAGTCAGGTGGGATCGAGTGGGGATAATTGACCTAGCTTTTATCTAATCTGATCAAAAATTTTCATCAATGACCGGGATGAATGGGGAAAATAAAATCCAAATCATCTACTTAGAAGTTAAACTGGCAGTCTCTAGTTGGCATTATTTATTGGAATTGGAAAGAAATGCCAAATCGCCGCTACTATCATACCAATGGAAAAAGTCGGAATGTGCCACTGATATTGAAGCCGGTCTCAATTTCTATGGGTGATGAAATTCAGTTGAACTCCTTACACACACAAAGTTAAATCTAATCAGATTGATAAGATTATGGAATTAAGCTTCCTAATTTCTATCTGATCTGATCGAGATCCTCATCATGACGAGGAAGGTAAAGTTCTCAAACATCTAATATTCCTATGATGTATCATGTATCCATTATAGTCAGTTTTTACTCCGTATACGATATGACACCACCTTGACACCATCGAGGTACCAAAGTGGAATTTTGTAACCTGTGTCTGTGGAGCTCAGCATCTCGTGGGTCGTTCATATGTGCATTCATACTATGCCCTCTTTGGCGGAAGACAGGCGAAGTGCGGTACCGGTAAAGTTATCTGTGGGGGTAAGCCCATTTTTATCAGCGTTGTCAGAAAGCAATTACGCCTCGAACGTACATAATCAGATTGATCAGATAACAAGGTATCACTGAGAATCCGTTGGGTCAATTGGTCATGGTCTCGGCTTCGAACAGTATACGAGCCTAGCTTGGAAAAGCTATCAACCATGATTTCGACATGGTCATTAGATCGATCAGATAAGATTCAAATTATCAGAAGAGCATTTGGTTTTTCGAAATTCTGGGATTGAACCTTACTAGATCATAGTTTTCCAGATCTAGCACCTGGGTAGAACGTTCTTTTCCTTCCATGTCGTGCATTTGAAAATCCCGATCCAATATCGGACGAAATCATGGACAGTGGAGTTTTGACCATTGTGGACATTCCGCCTGAAGGTCTAAAAGAGTACCACTTCCGCGTATATCCGCAAAGTAGGATTGTGTGGCATTTTTCATTCTAATTGGCAGTTGCTTCCAGTAGCGCAGACTCTTACTGACTTGTATACGTATAATTGGATTTTGACTTTGATATCGATGGGTTTCATGCAGTGTGATGTCGAATAAGCTGACGCGGACGACCGCTCGACTGCTGCAGTATTAGGTCTATGTACGAGCTACCTAAACATCGGGACTGGTGCATTGTCAGAGACTCAGAGTAGTTAATTGATTAAAATTTCCGGGGAGCCCTGACGCTAGTGAGGTACGTAACGCGATGTTTTTGTGGTTAAATACCCCTCCCTAACACAGTGTTCTGAGAAAGTGCCTTGGAGAGCTGAACTGCTCGTCGAGCCACAAGTAGCGACTGGGTAGGATCATATTAGCGATTTCTCCTTCGGCAAAAATACTTTGATGCGATAATTGGCCTTCGGTGAAGAGGCAGTCAGATGGTGGCAACTGACAGCTGTATAAGATCAGAATAACATATATCATGTTCCATCTTTGCCGACATCAGTTTGTAGCAGCAGAGAAATAGAAACTCCTTGGAGTGAACACGGGTAGGAGCACCCAAACATCGCAATCCCTGGCGTCCAAGATAGGCCTGCATTTCCGCAATGCGAGTAGGGAATCTCTCGGTCAAATCTTCAATCTTCATCCATGCGATGAAGCAATGTGGGACTGTATTAAACCATTGTCCCGCTGGACATGGTTCTACGAAAAAGAAAGTTTGAAATGGGTTTTGGGAGAGACAATAAATGGACGGATGGAACAAACGCGCTTCAAATTTCTGGTGTCTTTCCCTTAAAATGATGTGGAGGACGTATCAAAATAACTCACTCGAGTACATTTAACGAAGCTCATACTTTGGTAGCAACATCTCTCACAACTTCGCTTACGCCGCACCGCATAAGATTCTGAGGGACAAAACATCGAACGAAATACCATGCAGACCAAATATATGATGCAATATGCCACAGAAAATGGTGCTAGAAGAACTGAAATCTGATGTGGTTTGTTCATCTAAATATTTAAGTGGTTACTCACCATAGCTGTCCATAATCAAAAGACTTCGCCCTCTATCATTTCACATCTCCATAAACGCCATCCAAGCTCATGAACCATAATCTCATACAACGAATTTCAAAACCAAACCCTCAGGCACTGAAGAATGCCCTGAGAACATATATAGCCCCTACAACACTAACGACTATTGCAATGAATAAAGAAGCCCCCTCCTTGGTACTAGTAAAGTACATTGTGAAACCCACCACTATTTCTAGCATTCTAGCTCTTTCCCTCTTCTTTTTCCAATCAATATCAATATCAAAGGGCATGTGGGCTCTTGGATCATCTCCCCCTTCTCCTGCTTCCGGTTCTGGAATAGGCAATAGAGGAATAGTTACATCCAAAGCTACAGCTCTATGATCTGAAGTCGGCAGAAGAGGCAATGCAGTATATTTATTCGGGATAATCTTGGCTTCCGGGTTACTCTTTTGCACCCAAGATGGCATATCGAGGTATAGAATTCTATCGCACCAACTGGGCCATCTGTGTTTTGCCCATGGCCATCTATTCAGTTCACCATCTGCTGTCATGAATGGCCCTTCCGAATCGTATTTGTATGTAGGTGGAAATGACACCGGAGCTTCAATAAGCCCATGACAAGTTCGACCAGCTAATCGTTCTCGATTGAGCTGATCGTTTTTGAATAGGGCTGAATAATGATTAGAAGAGGAAATGAGATCGTTCGGTTGCGGAAATATGTTGGCATAATCATTTGCCGCAGGAGACATTAGAGAAGTTCGATAATTTAAGTCGCCGCCAAAAAAGAGATGGGATGTTGATTTATAAATCGACCCATCTTGTGGTGATATGGATAACAGTGGTCTATCTTCGTCGCCTCGGGGCAAAGTCGTAGCATAATTCGAGGTTGTTGAAGAAAATACCAGTCCGCGGACAATATCCTTCCAGTCTTGGTTTCGTCTTTGTAGTCCATCTTCCATAGCAGCAAGGTGGGCCGCAACGAACGTCAATTCTGTAGAAGTATTTCCATTTCCGTATGTAAATCGTACTCCAATTGCTCCTTTATTTCCCATTGACCATGCTCCCACTCCAACTTCACCAGCCTCTAAATCTTGTATAAGTGTCGGATCTTTTACAAATATCATAATTCCCGTCAAACCAACATTTCGTGCCACTATCGAGGTGTATGCCGATCCATCGTCTGATAATTTCTTTGAAGCTTTTTCGACTGCATCGTGGAATCGATTGAAATATGGTACTAAGAAGGATCCGCCTATAAGAGAGTATGGTATGGGTGCAATTTCTTGCAAGGAGAGAACGAGCAAGTCTGGCAAGTGAGGGGATGAGAGGCCGCTGAAAAGTTGAGAAGCAAAGGCATCAGTGTCGATGAGGGTAAGACCACAGTTGAAGGTCAAGAAATATAAACTTAATGCCTTCATATCTGAAGGATTTGCCATAATTATTTGAGTACTTCAGGTATCAATCAAATCATGGTGATTGAGACATTGAAGTGTTTTGATGTTGACAAAATGACCAAAGGTAAGTCAAGGCAAGGGATGATCACACTGGCCTTGTTTGCCGACGTCACTTGTGCCCCGCATCAATCATTTACACCACGGAAAAATAATCCGCCAGCAATTCTTCGTCATCAGCACCATCACACCAACAACTTGATACATTTTATATCTTCACTCCGGGGCATTTCCCGATATTAATATGTATTTTCTATGTCTTGAAAAAATAAATGAGCTTAAGTCGAGATGTTAAGCACATGTCATTTTGTACCTGCTATAACGAACAATAATTGGGAAGCGTGGAAAGGAGCTACCTGCAGCTCTAGAACTATGTGATATAAATTTTTAAGAGTTTCCCAGGCTGTCCTTCCTTCAATGAGGGATCACACTCATTCTATATTATATGTGCATACACCCATGAGCTTTTCTAACCGGACTGGAAATGTCCGACTCAAATCAACGATGACGAGTGCAGAGGATCAAGCTCGTTGATGATTCCAGCCATATATCTAAGATTATCCAAAAGTTTAGACCTATTTTACAGTATACCAAAGTAGGCCTTGATATAAAAACACCAAGAAATTGGGCAGGGTTATTCCGCATTCCCAGAAGTACAGGTTGTGAATTGAGGGAAAGGAAGCAACCGCTGCAGCTGAATAGCTTCCACTGGCGGTTTTTTGCTTCCCGGAAAATTTCGTCGACTAAGTGCTGGTATATGATACAAGTCACTATGTTGAACTGTTAGTGTCGGGGAAATTCTACCCACTACCGTTGAGGGACTTGGAATCAAAGGCTATAACCAAACTACTCATTAGATCGGGTATCTATAAACTTCTCCTGGATCGCCACCTATCATTCCGGGACTGGAAACAAGCAAGGCTATGCATACATATAAATTCAATTCAAAAGATCGAAATACTTAGATTATGCATAATCAGCACTGAATAGCCTGAAGATACGTAGGCAAGGCCGCGAGCTTGACGTGCGTTTGGTTTCCCTTTCAGCAGGGTGGCAGTGCGGCTATCAATTTATCGAGTCAATACCACGGAGTTGATAGGAAGAGCACAAAATCTTGGCAGGATTGCATACACGTTAGATGATATGCTCCGCGGATATTGACCATACATTGATCATCACTTAACAAACAGTCAGCCAAGCGTAACGACTTCTTTCCTTCGCCGTCCTATTTCCACGAAGAATTAACCATCCCTATTCATCTCAACTTAGCCAAGTATTATGTTTCTTTTCTTGAGGAAATACTATCATCAAATCATGGCTTCAGCGTATCTATACCACGGCACCTCTACTGATATGGCCAAAAATCTTCTCAACTTGGACCCATTAGCATTTCTCTCGTATCAATCACAATCTAGTATGACACGCCCAGGTTATGACGTAACTAAATGTCAATGGACGCATACTTCCTGCGATTTTTTCTGTTCTTGTTATCAACCATTACGAGTTATCGGAATACCGACTAGTTGTCTCGCAGGGTTTCTTACCTAACTCAAAAGTCAAATCTGTACTGCTAGAACTCTAGTTCAAAGTGCGTAATGGTAGACGTGCGAGCCAGAATCATGATGCTAGTCTCGCTTGCGAAATAGGTTCGCTACTTAACTTTTCTGTGAAAAGGAAAGCTGTTGCATGAAGGCCAGTGAAACCTCCTGGATTAACAGCAGACCTAGGGAATTACCTGCACAGAGAGTACGCGATCAAATAAATATCTGGTGCAATTGCAGTGACGCTGGGTTATGGGACTGTATATGTTTGGTGGGGACGCAGATTGTTCGGGTCGAATTCATTTTGACTGCAATTCCGCTATTACCTCGAAGGTCTTTGACAACAGCCACAACAGAAAAGTACTGGCGAGATATCTGCAAGTCCTCTCCAGAAATCGGAATAGTGGTTAAAACATTGTAGTACAATATCCTGCAGTATGTCAATTGAGTAAGCTGGATTCAGAAGCTCAGGTGCGCCACCAACTTTGTTAAATGCTGAGTCGCGACCGCAAACCACTTGCTTTGCATGAAGCGATTGAAATAGAATCGCAGACTCAGTTTCTACTTGTACTAAACCCCTTTAAAACTGAAGGAGAAAGATTCTCTAACTTCTTATAAGTCAGGTTGAAGCCGGACAGAGGGTTTGTTGCTTAAGTATCATCATTCTCAAGCTGCTCACAACCCATGGCATGGTAATTTGAAATTCAGAAAATTCTTACCAGGCTATTGAATTAATCCTAACACAAACATAGATGTAACCCAGCTTTGTGTATGGAAGTGCTCAAAACATCATTGATGCTGAGACCCGACGTGCATGCACCAAATCGGTGACAGTGGCGTAATTTCCAGGGCTCGATTATGATGTGAGATACCGAAGCCTTTCGAGCAACATTTTGTTTCGGCTTTTTAGAAGTATCTTGTACTCCAAGAAACATGCATAAGGATACCCACACGGTCTGGGCTTGTGTGTATGGAGTGCCAGAAATTATCCGAATGTTTTGTCCTAGTTTGTTGTGAGCAGTAATTGCCACAGTGAACTGTGCTCGTGTATCCTTGAGAAATGTTGTGTCATTTTATCCTGTCAATGACATAGGTTTGGGACACAAGCAGTAAGGTTTTAATTGTCCTCCATCGATGAATTTGCGGAAGTATTTGAATTTAACATGATTATATTGCGGTCTTATATCAGCTTGAAGTCGTGGAACGTCCCCTAGAATCATTTCAATGGTTATTGGATGATGTAATGGCTGCCGGGCGTCACCCAAATCCATCAACTAAGAGCTAGAAAGGTCCATACCTGCAGGTCGTAAATTCTTCACCAACTGAGTCTGTCGCGTTGCGAGTCCCTATGCTGGGAAAATATGTATACAGCCAATAATCATGTGCGATGTCGGCCTGAACTGTATACTCGTACATCATATCAATATATGAGATGGTTGTGCATAACGATATTAATAAACCCCTATCAGCCAATAGCAAATCCTACCGAATAAAAACAATTTCATTCAACCACTCGAGGGCCATGAGTGGAATTGTACGCTCAATTAATCAATCGACCGCAGGTTGATGGACGAGGTGGAACAGGATAAAATGTCCATATGAAGCAGGATATGCATCATGCAACAAGGACTTATTAAGAGCACACCTTCGAGTTTACAGGGCGCATGCGCCGCTGTTATTTATATGACCATAAATCCCATATGAAAGGCACACTTTGTGTAGGATATCTTCCCTACTTTAATTCATTCGAAAGAACAAAATCAATCCCTAATATTTTAGCCAGAACCTCGAGTCATGATGACAGCGCTCAACGTTGCAAAGGACTCCCGTCCTGATTCCGAAGTAAATTCAGCCATTAAATCGAATTGGAAGACCACCAAGCCAATTCGTGCTACAGAGAAAGCATTCCTCGATCTCTTGGAAGGCAGAACTCCTCTCCTTCACGAGCCTGAGTTTCTTTCCCAGGAGGATTGCTCTAAGCTCACAAACGCTTTGGAGCCAAGACTTACACCATATTTGCATGCTACTGGTCCAAAGTTGGCCAAAGTGGGCATTGCCCAGTTTGAGTTCCAAGCGCAGAGCGAGGATGACCTGAAAAATAGATCTGGAAATGGTACGTACTCTTTTTAAGAAATCCCTGCCAAATTTCTTTCATCATGAGAAACCTAGACTCCACAGTAGCTGACTAAAGATATAGAGAAACAGCAATACTTCCAGGCAGTCCGTGAGTTGGGTGACTCGCACGCTCGATTGGCCGCAGAAGTTGGTATCAATGCGTTTGCCAAAGTCTTCGACTTCATTAAATCGATTGCTCCCGACGACTGGGAAGTCATGCTAGCCACAGAGGTGCTAGAGGATGAGACGACGAATGGTACTCCTGCCACGCAGTCTTACTTTGCCGGCATTTATCGAGTGATCAACAACGGAACACCAGTTCATTGCGATTGGGCACCTTACGACACTCGGACGGAATCGTGGTCAATTAGCAGAGTGACAAACCAAGTTGCCGTCAATTTATGCGTGACTCCACCACCGGCCAATAGTGGAGGAACTACCGTATACGATTTGCAGTGGTCTCCCGAAGCATTGGCCTTCCGAGATCCAGAGAGTTATGGATACTCTGCGGGCCTTGTTGATGGCCGTAAGCGATTAGATTTTCAACCTCATATTGGTGATCTATACCTCTTCAACTCTCGTAATATGCATGAGGTGCATCCAGTTTTTTCTGACACAGGGGTTCGGCGTTTGGCTATGTCAAGCTTTCTTGGAGTGTTGCCGCCATTGAATGAAGGCGAAAAGACGAAGTTGGTGTTTTGGGGTTAGAGGATGGAGGATCTAACAGCATGAGCCCTACTTTCTGGCCCCACTTTTGAAGTTTAATACGACATGAGGTTTTTCGCCTCGTTGCCTTCAACGTGATATTATGTTCTTTGGCGATCTCTATTCTCAAAAGGCGGACTGTGTGATAAGTAAGGTCCCATAGGCTTGCAGCTGTTTCGCTTGAACGGCTATTCACAGATTGGCGAGAAGGTTGTTATGCTTGAATCGTATTTATTGGATAAGCTTCCATAACGTAACGTGGTTTATCAGGACCCTGTACACTTTTACCTCAATTGCCCACATTCCATTGAAATAAAATTACAACAATACTATAAATTAGAATTAAATTACATACAATTCAAAGATCAACTAATGCTGGATCTAATTGACAAATTCGTGCATTATATGAAGCACTACCACATTTGCTACATCGTCGTATAGTAGCTTGCCTCCTTGCTGAAGAATCATCATTTGTAAATTCATCGCATCGTATCTGATCTTCTACATTCTCTTGTTCTAATATATCATACTTATCTTCTATTGAAAGTACTCCTCCTTTTCGTATTAAAGCTTTTCTAGCTCTCCAACGTTTACTAAATGCTTCATTTGCTTTATAGAGACTATGAACCTCAGCAGCTAAAAGTGTTGGTACGAGAAGGATACGGAAGACGTAGCACCCACGGATTACGTAGGTCCTGTATGTCTAATTGTATTCTGTCTAAAGAGCTAGCTACATATTGAAAGTAGTAAGTCTTATATAGACTTACTAAAAGAGCTAGTCTCTTTCGCGTTCGCTTAGTTCTTTATTACAGTAGTAATTGAATTGAAGTCATTCACTTCGTTCACACACTTCCCTTCTTTTCGATTTAAACCTTTGGATCTCTTAAATTCCTTACAATCCAATTGAAGCTCTTTCTCAATCAATTTTAGTAAAATCTCGAATGACTCGTCATCAATTAAGCTCCCCTACATCTATATTCGAAACTGTATTAATTTTAACTAAAGATATAAAGAGATTGATATATGAAAATATACTTTTAAATATAGAAAATCATATATTTTAAAAGACAAATGAAGTATTAAACAAATATCGATATGCGAAAAAGACTCAATTACATCAAGGAGTACTTACTGAACAAGAAGCTACAGATATATTATCTCAACAAGAGGTTGATAATCAGATTCAATACAACGAGCGTCAAAATGACGGGAATTCTAATGGGGAAGCATCTTCTAATAGATATTGTAGCAAGTGTGGGACTGATCATAATTCAAGAACCTATTCTAATAATTTAATAAACCCTAGATTATTAGATTCTTAATAGTTTTAATTGATTGATTTAATGATTGTTGAATTATATGAGTTAGAAAGTGCAAATTGAGGTAAAAGTGGTGCACTCGGTGTTAAACCACGTTATGTCTTGCAATAAAGACTATTTCAAATAAAAGTTCAAAACTTCACCAAGAACAGAATTAACTCCGTAAGGCGCTGCTCTTGTAATACGGAGATCGGCATGCGATGCTTCTACAGTCACGTAGGTGGTTCTTTCTAATATATATGATATAAAGACATCTCCTCGGGCATTTCATTTGTTATTCCTCTTATTTGAATACGAGAGTATCTGTAAGGCGGGCTTGGTTCCCTAGTATTAGTTTTCACTTCCCCCATTCAAACATTAGAAGATTGAGGCTTTCAATCTCCCCAACCTGTATTAGCTACGGTCGAATAAGGCCAGCCACCCTCCATTTATTGTTAGAAGCCTACAAAGCTCCTAGCCGTCTTAGATAGTCATAGACTCAGTGTAGATGTTAATTTAATCAATCAATCAATCAATCAACATCTCCTCGGGCGTACCTAATATGATTACACGGTTACTGTTGGTACGAGAAGGATACGGAAGACGTAGCACCCACGGATTACGTAGGTCCTGTATGTCTAATTGTATTCTGTCTAAAGAGCTAGCTACATATTGAAAGTAGTAAGTCTTATATAGACTTACTAAAAGAGCTAGTCTCTTTCGCGTTCGCTTAGTTCTTTATTACAGTAGTAATTAAATTGAAGTCATTCACTTCGTTCACACAGTTACTTCAAACATTCTACTCTATCTATTGAAGTCTTTCAAGTTAGAGAGCAATAATGCTTGCCGAGCTGTAATATTACCTCCGTCTTTTGGATCTAGCTAGCCTCCAAGTGGAAAATATTCCCCGATCAATCCATGAAGACTTTATCGAAAACTTCGTCGAGTTGTGTCTCGGAGGCGTGAAAACCTAAGCCTTCATTTGCTGACTTCTCGGATAAACGGACTGATGAGTTGCATGATACAACGGCGCTTATTACGCCGACCATGACCGCATATTCATCGTCAACGTTGAAGAATCAATATATGCCATGCACATAATACTTTTAGTTACCGAGTGTTGCTCACACCCATTAAATGAACTATTAGATAAACTGTCCTACCCGCATCTACAAGTTGCGATGTCTGGTGACCCTTCTTATTGATCTGTTCTTGGAACTTGATTGGAAATCGGATCCAGTATCTATATTTCAATATCGAACTGCGGTAGAAATGTTTCTATTTTCTGCTTTATTGGGTCCTGGATATCGACTGCTACGTCAGCACTTTAGTAGGAAATCATTGTAATGTGATCCTTTGAGGCCTTTTGAAATGACATTCTCTAAGTTCTGGACAGCAATGGGGGCTAAGATGTTTCAAGGGGTACAGTATGAGAGGCACAGCTCTTGGGAGGGGGAAAACCATCTTCACTCCTCAGACTCACACTTGAAGATCTCAACTTTCATAAATAATTGTCAGTATCATCAAGGTGCTTGACGACAAAATTTTCATATTGACGGTTAGAAACTTTTGTACCAAGATGAGCACTTCGAATCCAACATCTTCCCCCTTGTTCCCGCCTCGGGTTAATCACGAAACATTTACAGTGAGTTTTGTCAATACCCTGTGTTTTTCGACATCAAATAATTTGACTGTGTAATTTTTAGGGAGTAGCTTGGGGCGGTACAGCACTATCCTTCCTTTTTGTAGTCTTTAGGGTCTTTGTCAGAGTTCGAACTTTCAAGCGACTTTCACTTGACGATTTATGCGTCATTGCAGCATGGCTATTACTTCTATCTTCTGCCATACTCTGGCAGAATATCAGCAAAGACATGTTCGAGCTGCTCAAGGTTGCGAGCACGAGTCCTCTTATCCTTCCAGAGGGGTTCGAAACTCGTGCTCAAAATGCTCTGCGGGGCTCCGCGGCCTTCACAGTACTATTCTATAGTACTTTGTGGTTGATCAAACTTTCTTTCCTACTCTTCTTTGGACGATTGTTGGAGAACGTGGATTCTTTTATCTGGCCACGGCGCATCGTGATCATGTTTGTTCTCGCAACTTGGGCCGTATCTATTGGTACAATTCCGTATCCATGTATGGTTCCTAGCTTCGCAAAAATCGTGGAAAATTGTATATCTTCCTCTGCAGCGTCATTTTCTCACTTCACACTGGGTTTCAATTGCAGCATGGATGTCTTGACAGACATAATGAGTACGTCAATAGATTTACCTTCTTCATACGAATCGAGAGAAATAACCACGAACTAGTTATGGCGATACCATTTTGTATCCTGTGGACTGTACGCTTAAGTCAAAAGAGAAAGCTGGCATTTGCTGGCATTTTCTCACTCGCCGTAATAACGATGATTTTCGCAATCGTTCGCGTTGCTGTTAACATTGGGAGTCCACATTCGACCTTGTTCGATCAGAGTTGGCTATACACCTGGAGTCTTATTGAGCAAACCGTTGGTAGGTTTTAATCTGGGAGGTTGCTTGAGAGTTTTGTTTCAATCGCTAATAATTGCAGCCATCATAGTCGCTTGTCTTGCTTCGTTCCGTTCTCTTTTCGCTCGCAACAACATTCCTCAGCCAGCCCCTGCAGATCCACACGAGAGTTATCGGAATGACGAGAATAGAGAAAAGAAAAAGCGTTTGTTCGATGTTCACTTTGGTCTTTTGTCTCGCCTAACAGCTCCTTCTGCATACGTGGATATTACCGAGACAACGTCCCGCGGTACTGCATCAGATGATGTATTACTCCAATCCCAGAAACCTCATATGCGACAAGACGTTGAGCTTCGATCCTCTGAGTCACAGGCTCAGGCTGTTTAAGATCTTGTCATGTTTATTCCGTCAATTGCTGCCATTTATGAAGAACTGCGACCTTCAACTTCATCCTATGCTTATTTTGGACCAACTACTTCTAGAGATATGATGCTTTTGTTTTCCCTTTAAAGCTGTTTTACTGCTGTACGGAAACATATACCGGACATTTAACTGAAACTTCACTTTAACTATAAAAACAGACTTGGTCATACAAAAACTGTGAAGTGTCGTGAAAGAATGGTACGGAAAAAGCGCATTCCCATATGTATTAAATATTGATGAAACAAAATAAATATCAACTCATGATCATTCGTTTGGCCCATGGTTACACCACATAAAAATATACTTTATATTTGTGATGCCGAAACCTTGGTGGATATTGTTCAGAGACGGATGAATTCATAAAACCACGAGAAGTTCTTGGTTAGTTTCTTCTTCACATTAAACATCGTCACTAGATAATCACTGACTTGGACTAGAAATGCTAAATGTCTTCGGGCCAAATATATCTACTGTAAGTATATACATGCCAAAATCAAACAAACAGCTAGATAATTATTATAGGTGTCAGACGAGGATTGGCCTCGACATAAGAAGGCGACAGGACCACCCTTCAGTAACGAGCAGACCAAAAATTTAGTATGGCAAGAGGCTCTTCAACAGACTCAAGAAATGCTACGTTATTGGACTGATCAAGGACATGCTGCCATTTAAACTACAGCTCAAGATGCTAAGAACCTTTTTTCTAAATATAATCACAATTGCTGGGTTGTTAAATCGTATTCCTTCAGACCTTCGTCACATGCGGATAATGGTCCAAATCATTGCATGAGCTATAAAGATTCCTTGAGTTTAATCGTTGGAAATGCTATTTCAATATTAATAATTGGACCTTTATTCCTCCAAAAATGTGAACACTTTCTCCGTAAATCATGGCAAGACGTCGCTCAAGCTAGTGTCGAGTTTAAAGCATATATGACAGAGATGGTACAAGAAGAAAGAGAACTCGTCGCTGCAGGCAAACAGTCAAAACCCAATTTGATGACTTCCCTCGTCGGTGCCTCACAGCCCAATCTCGATTTTAAAACAGATGACTCCAATCTCAGACGGAAGCAATATGCTTTAACGGAAGAGGAGATATCCGGAAATATGTTCCTATTTAACTTAGCTGGACACGATACAATCTCCCATACGATCTGTTGGGCCATCAATCTACTTGCTGCCCACCCAGATGTGCAAGAATGGCTCTCTGAAGAAATCAATTCAGTGTTCTTGGATCCAGATTCTGCTATATGGAATTATGAGGAATCGTTTCCTAGATTAAATCGATGTATGGTTACTACAGTAAGTATGGCGTTTATAGTTATTGTTTTATACACTAAAAAGTATAACCACAGCATTGTGTCCAACAGTCCGGACTGCAGGACGGACTAGATGTTTTAAGTTAAACAGCCGAGCTTAAGTCCGTCCATTGGAAGGTTAAACAGTTCGTCTAAAATTATTTATCCTCAACAAGCAGATTATAGTTCGGACTGCAGTCCGGACTTTTTAATATTAGACTATCTAGTCCAGATTCTTTATATTAAAATTTCGATAATAATCTATTAGTCCAATAAAGTCATAGACTAGCCGTACAGATGGACATCCGGACGGAATACAAGAAGACTATTGGACACACTGAACCACAGTTCGAAACACTCCGCCTCTACCACCCATTATTGATATTCACAAAGTCGACCGGAAACCTCCCGCGCACTGTCACATATCGCTCTAATCAATTATATCTACCACCAGATACAATTATCCTGCCCAATTTGCTTGGTATACAATTTCATCCCCGATATTGGGGGTCCGATTAACTCCTATGGCACCCTTCACGATGGATTGAGAAATCCCTAAATCACCAAAGTGGTGAAATGACAGAAGGATTATGGATACCACCAAGAGGCTCATTCATGCCCGTAAGTAGAGTTCCTCGTTATGGATTCTCTTCTGAATATCTATTTCTGCGCTGCAATTTTGAGCCACAATTTGGAGTACCCTATTCTTCATATTCCTTTTATACATCATTCTTATTCTCTAATCCGACATCAAGCTTCCCGTTGATACCATATATACTCAAATCTCTTCATCGATAGAAAAGTACTAACACCAGATCTTGCAGTGGTCCGACCAACCTCAAGGATGTCCTGGTAAGAAATTCGGCCAAGTAGAATTTGTCGCAGCGATGGCGGGACTATTTCAAAACCACAGAGTAGAAATTGTACGAGAGGCAGACGAGACGCATGAAGCAGCTGAAAAAAGAGTACAGGAATTTAGTTGATGATAGTGCCATGGTACTTTTGTTGCAGATGATGAAGTCCGAGAAAGCGGGGTTGAGATGGGTGGGAAAGGGATGAATGTAATGCGTTACGGGGCCCTCCGAAATATACTATGTTGCAAAATAAGTGTCACGATTCACTATTAGGATTAGTGTCTTGGGATGAAAAGTAATCACGTGATAAGGAGCCCTAGGAGCCCTCAAAGCTCCTAGGGGCTCCCTTTATCGATCATTATATAGTCAGAGTAGTTTCATAGTTTAGAAGCTTCGTGATCAACTTAGTTATCAATTAGTTTACCTATATTCTACTTGATCTAGTAACGAATTCACTTTCAAGTGAATACTAGTGATAAAGCCTTAACCTACAATTACCAATTAGACGAAACCTCAAGCAACCGCTGTCTTCAGTACAATATCGTTACATAAATCTCTGATTAATTATATTATAAAACTGACTTCTTTATTTTCTTTTGTTTTCAATTTTGTGTTACGATCAATCCTAACAGTTACTCAGATGACTAAGTTTATAGTCACATGACCTAATATTGTCCCACCTAGAATCACTCAACTACAGGCAGTGGGACATAATGGGAGGCGATGGGATGTATAATACGAAGGTCTATATAATCATGATGGATTTCCTTTGTATAGAGCTTCGTGCTCAAGATCAATCATTTAGTATACTCTACTGTTAGTTACGAATTGCATATCATTATTGTCATTACTTAAGTCCCTGCTTGACGCCTAGTTATAAACCACCTCGAGAGCCTAGAGCACTTCCACGTGATCTAGACGGCAAACTCGTAACATCTCAATTTATTTATTAAAAAAAAATAAAAAAATATATAAAAAATATTTATAAACGAATTAGCTCAATTACGAATCGTCTCAGTTTCATCTAAATAGGTTGTATTAGACAATAAACTAGCTCATTCCAAAATTAAGCTCATTAGCGAATAAGCTAGGAAATTGACTAATAAGCTATGTGACGGAAACCTCTGCTTTCCTCCCACCCTTACTATATAAGAAACCTCAGGTACATTAACCATGTCCACACATGATATAATTACTCGGGATTAGTATACGATTTAGGTGGCCTGAGGATCAGATCCGGACAAGTACTAGGTATCAATGGTTATCGGTAAAGTAAGATCATTGGAGGGATAAATATGACTTCTTTTTGCCTAGCCATTGCGGCTAGGCCATTCATTTGTGTGTGTATAGAGTAGCTATCCCCATCTACAGGTGCTCTTCACCTGTAGATTCTAAGTTAAATACAATTGCTGGTCTATAAACACCCTTTTGATCACAAGCTAGCATGTTTCAGAATCAATCTACTTCATTTCGGAGTGAGAATATTGATTGTACTATGTCCCGTAACAAATGCAATGTAATATTTGACGAATTCTCTAATTTAGGGATATATCAATGACAAGAACCGGCTAATCCAAACTCCACCCAAACTAAGCCTAAAGTTACAGAAACCTGGTAATCACAAGAATTCAAACGTTCATCTTCAACAGCCTCGTGGTCCTCCATCTACTCTCCATTACCCTTGACATTCCCCTTCCTCTTCCCCATCTCCCTCTCCCCCTCCCCCTCCATCTCCTCCTCTCTCCACCCAGGCCTCGCACACACCGCCCCCACAAGCGACAAAATACTACTCATCCTCAAAAACATCGTATACATCAACGTCAGACCCACCACCACAATTTCCTCCCTAAACCTCTCATTTCTCATCGCCTCCTCCCCCAAAAACTCCACACATCCCACCTGCGTCAGCGATAAAGTATTAGCCGAAAATTTCGCAACCGGCATTTGCGACGCATCTAGACAGATGAAATTCCAAGTTTTCCACCCCGTGCTAGTTGTCCATGTCATTTTTACTGGTTTTTGCTGCTGTTTTTGTTGTTCTTCATCAAAATTTATATTAGAAGTAGAAGTAGAAGAAGTATAGGAACCCAAACAAAACGTATGCGACAAATGCGCATATTCCGTCTTCCACCTCTTTAAAGCTTTAATCTTAATTTTATGACCGCGAACTTCGCAATCGGCATCGATGGATATGGGATGCATGGTTCCGGTGCCGAATGTAGAATTAGAATTGGAATATTCGTTTGCGTATTTGAAAACGAGATGCGGTTTGAATGTCTTGTAGGTTATGGTGTAGAGGGGTTGCGGGGAGTTGGTGTCCGGGGTTGTGATGGTTGATTTGAAGGTTTTCCAGGAGAAGTTTATGGGGAGGCTTTGGTGGGGAGATAGGGATGAGGTTGGGAGATTGGTGGATTGGAGGGGTGGTGAGGAGTTGGCGGGTGTTTTTGTCGTTGTTGTTGTGCTCATTTTAGGTACACTTGAAGGTTGGGAATTTTGTGTTGAAATTTTAGATTATTTGAGAAGATAAGATGGATGGTTTCTCTTGGTTATTTATCTGAGGAATATCAAGTATTCATTATAGATTCTGCATCCCTACATATATCATAAATCTCACATAATCCGCATGACGTCGGACAACGTTCAGAAAGGGCTGATAAGCTTAAAGCCATGCTCATCCCACCATTCCAATAAAAGATTTTCAGTACCAACTACCCCTTAAGGTAGTCTTACAATACACACTTTCTCACCGTATCCTCTCCGATCATTTCCTGAATCATAAAAATTCCAAGTAAGCTTACTTTGACATCCAACGATTCAGCTTGGTGAGACATCTAAATGATCTGCAGTACATGTTGCATTATGTCATATCACTTCCCAAATAGTCGCTACGTGCCGCTCATCCCTTGGCGACTTTAAGCCCCGCATAAAGTAGCGCTAAGCCCCCTCCATTCCAATCTCACAGCCGCATCAATTTCAACGGCCGCCAGATGCATTTCATTCATCCAACGCATATTGCGAAATCTTCAACCTTCTCCACGTTTCTATCTTTCCCAAGGAAGTCATATGTAGCGCTCCCAACCTCCCGCAATGGCCGGCGTACCATCAGGTTAAGGATGCGAAGCATGTCGCAAACAGAAGAAAAAGGTTCATTCATTTACTCTGCACCTTGCTTGATGGACTTAGTCAATAATGAATAATCCTAATGATAAAATAGTGTGACGAAATCCAACCAACATGCTCTCGATGTATTTGGCTCTCAATTCCATGCATAGGGAGCGGAATGAAGCGCTTTAAATTCGTCTCTGATAATTCTTCCTCGGCCTCCCAGCCCGTTAGGAGTAAATCCACTAAGATGAATCGGAAACCCCGTTCGGAAGACCACTGTATCGATGATACGCAAATAGCGCGGATTCTAAGTAACAAGACTACTACAGTAACAGGAGCATTTATATCCGTGCTGGAAGTAAAAGATACTCGTTATGACATAGGGGTATATGGGAATTTTCTCGCAGAGATCCCTCGACGTCTTGTGACTAGCGCCGCGCTTGATGCTTCGGTTAGTGCTATTGCGGCATCCTATGTATCGATGTACTCAGGAGAGAAATCAGTAGAGACACTTGAGCGTTATGGAAAAGGATTGAAAGCCTTAAGGGTCGCGTTAAATGATCCCAAAGAGGCTAATTCGGCAAACACTATTTGTGCATTTTATTTAATGATGATCTGCCGGGTGAGGAAAAAATTTGTAACCTTAATGTGGGGAATGATAAACTGACATTCCACTAGTCGTGGATGGCTCAGAGTGATGAAAATACTAATCACGGCGAAATGTTGATATATTTGTTGAATGCAGGTGCGGCGCAGGGTTGGAAAGGTAATTTTAAAAGCGAATTACTAGTGACTCTGTGCGTTCCCCTGGTATGAATACCCATATTTAAAAGAAATCTCGTGAATAGGTTGGCTCATGACCTATTAAAGATAATGGAAAGCATCAGAAATCCGAAGCTCCAATGGACCGCTAGACTAGGAAAACTAACAGAAGCTCGAGATAACGCCATCGGCATTCAAAGTCTAAAACTACAGGTTTTAGCAAAAGTCCCGGAGTACCTGAGAAATCTAGAGATACACCTGCCTGTAATAAAATCTACTTATCATCAAATGAAAATCGACCTTTCAACCTTGCGACATTCTCTAGAAAATCTCGGTCGAGCCCCTCATACCAAAACACTACATTCTCGCTTCCAAGCCGTGTATAGTCTCATACTTGCATTCACCAACATTCTGAATACTTTCCTTCGTGCCTTTCCACACGATGATAATTCTTTGCTTCCTGAATCTGTGGCATACTTTGACGAAACTATTTCTCTCGCGGAAGATGCTCTCCAATACAGACCATCAGGGTCGTCTACGATGCCATTGGTTCCTACGAGTGCTTGGGTTGCTACAAACGATAGTTCCCGAAGAAGTAAAGTCGAGAAGCTGTTGGAGGAATACCAGTCTGATTTCTCCATTCTAAATTGGATGGAAATTGCTTTTTGGCTGGAAGCAAGACGGGGCAGTGTGTACGCATCATTCCAGAATTACGGTGTTACCACGGCAAAACTATCCAATGGGATTTGAAAAGATGTAAATTTCGGACTCGGAACTAAATTATGGTGAATGGTTTTTCATTGGCAAAACTGCGAGTTTGAGCGCGGATCGAGTTTGTATCTTGTCCTAATTTTGAAAGATATTTCAATTCTTAAGCATAAACGGCTAGCTGACAAGAGTAACTTACTTTTCTCGATTACATTAGGACTATCAACTTTCCGATCCGCGACATGTTCAAAAATGATGTCAAGAACACTTTTCGTAGTCTTCATGGTAGGATCCACCAAGTTTCCAAACAAAAAAATGATATCTTTTCGCGGCCCTTTAATTTCCAAGACTCCCATGAAGCGTTGCTAGAAACAATTTTTAATATGATCAATATTATCGGGATCACTCACAAATTCAGGAAAAAGCCTTTTGAAAGAATTCATGAATACAGGCGACCGCATATTCCCGATGAATTCAGCAATCTTAGTGAAAAGTAAGACGTACTTCGAACCTAGCCAAGGTCGAGCTCTGGCAGTTGAACAAATAGGGTCAAGTCATCGAAAAGCTGCTCGGTCGTGTCAGTCTCAGATCACTCAGATCTGTAATGGAATGTCGACATAGAGACTGTAAAAATGACTACTGACGGAATTCCTTGTAGGCCCTAAGTTCCTCGATTGTAATGCCATGGATAACCAAATCAATTGATCTTTTGAGGGTAGTTTTTCCACCCTTGCTACACCTAAATAACAATACTTGGGTGGCTTTAGGGTCATCGCTATGGTATTGGCAGGACTTTTGGGGATATTCCGCGCTGTCAAATGACTTTTGTTTCACCCATAGCCTCCTTACATCGGTTAAAAGTTTAATATTGAACGCCTTTGGGCCGAGCTTCGCCTTTTTCGTTGCCTCTATCGAGTCTGATCTTTGAACAGCTGTATAAGTCGAGTACAGTGTCTCCGGAATCGAAGGTAAATGGTCAACTTTTGGCACAGTCCTAAAGATGAGTCTTTTAACACCTGTTCAGGAGCTCGTTTCGACGTGTCCTGACTAGCTATGTCCAATCAGTAAGGGCGAAGATTCTCCATCCACTCTATCGTTTTTGGTGGCAGCAATTGACTTTCCTTTTTTGAGGACTCTCAGTGACTTCAGGGCATTCCAATAAACATCTGTGGTAACGATTTCATGATCAAACTCGAACTCAACATCGAAGCGCCTCATTGGATGAGAAGCAAAGCTATTGCTTCCATGACTGAATAAAGAAGATCGGTCATCTTCTACTTTTTGTATTATGTTTCTGCTTTCACTACAACGTAAAAAACGATTTCGATCGAAGGAGCTCCGGCTGTTATATTTTTAATGCAGTTCAAATACTCTACTGGAATGATTTTCCTGGCGTTATTAACATCATAGGGACATACCACTGTATTGCTGACAGTAATAAATTAAGAGCATTGATTTGAATGTTCAGGTGATTGTTGAGTTCTCCCATTTCGTCCTCATCCCAAAGATATTTGATTTTCCCTTCAAAATTCAAGCCCTCCACGTCATTTTGAGCCAACTAGGTGACACGGTCGTCTAACAATAAAATGATAATGTGGCAACTTTTAAGAGAGATATTCAAATCATCGGTGAGCTGCTCGTGCTCAGCGAGTCCTCGTAGACTAGTCGCAATCCAATCTGACACTTCATTCAAAGCTGCTTTGATAGCTGTCAGCTGACCAAAATGAGTGAAAGGAAAATAGTAGCGCGGCAACTTAGCATCATTGTCATCTGTACACAGCGCCGCATCAAGATCGCCCGACATCATTGAGCTGCAAGCCGATAAGCTCCAACCAATGGACTTTGTGGCCAATCTCGATTGACCACACCGTGTAATAGACCTACATGAGGCTGAGAGTTAACACCAGCCTCTGTAGACAGTTTGTAGGTTGAGGAGGAAGATAGAAAAAGAGGACTAAAAATTCATATTGGTTGCGTCTAAAAGATTTAGCTCCGCAACTAGTCCTGCACATGATCACACGCGACCGTTTCCGTTTCGCTATTCTGATGCCTACCAGTGCATACATATCAGTAGTATTGAAAGATGAAGGTTCCTCCCATTATAATCTTACATAGCATTTATCCACTTGTCCCATGTTCATTTGCAGCAGCGGTAGCAGCAACGGGCCAGAAACCATCTAGCTAGATTGAATCAATAATATTTACAATCTTCTTATCGAGCTGGATGTATAAACATATAAAATCTTGACAACGCCACTATGCACAACCCGTGGTATTCCCAAATCCACTGAACGCCATAGATAAACTGTACCAAATTCCCGGCTCCTTCTATGTTGCCGAGTAAGAATCATACCTACTTGAAACATTACTTTGTGCTTCACTGAGTAGCACAAATACGGTGAGAACTAGATAAAATTGGAGCCTCTCCACATGTTCAGCTCACAATGTCCATTCAGATGCGAATGCACCTCTGCCTTCCCTCGCAACCAGTTTATGTACGGAAATGATGAAAGTCCTTTGCAGTAACTGAGAGTCTAGAGTCGAGATATTCAAGTGGGAATGTTGATCTCGTATCCAATCATAACTTCAGTCGTACTACCTTCCCAACCTCGATTCCCGGCAGCTGATATCATGTATTTGCAAGTTGGATCGATATGAAGTGCAGCTATAACACCAGCTCGCGGGGGACCAGGAACGATAAGGAAAGGTACGGATGAATGTGATTTGGTCTGTGGTTGCTTAAGATCATATAAACGTAAGATATCGTGCGATGCACTATTGATAATTAGTATCGTGGATGGAGCAGTGGATAATGCTTAACTTACCAAACCAAATGCCTGCCATTGGGCATGGCTCTCATAGCACTAACTGCACCACTTCCGTTTGGAAATTTGAATGTTCTTTCGGGTTGCTTGAGACCTTTATGCAAACTGAACTCTTCCACTGTGCCGTTCCTTCGACCAGCATATATATAGTTTCCGTCAGGTGACCAGCAAGCAGCCATACACCATGGGGGAACCCCTGTCCTAGTCAAGATTCGAGCAACTGGGTTCGGCTGACGTCTATCCCAGACACGAATAGTCCCATCGATAGAGGCAGCAAGGAACGTCGAATCAGATGTCGCATCAGCATCTTGGGTTTCAGGCTCTATTTTTGCTTCAATTATTTCATCAGAGTGATGTAAGCCATTTGATAAGTCTGAATGTGGTTGTTCAGATGGGATTTGAAGGGAAGTAGAAGCTTCTTCCTCAGTTGGTGGAGGTGGTGCATCCATCATGGGCACATCACCTCGAGAATCTGGGCGTGCATCTATGTTTATATCTAGGGCCTTTGAAAATTCGTCTTCATCGTCGCCAAAATTCCCTCCGGAGGGAGCTCCCAGCCCATCTGTGTCTCCAAATAATGAATCTCCACCCCCGAAAAGAGAATCTGCAGGCGACCCAGGAGCATCCTCATTACCTTCTGCGTCACCACCAAATCCATTCGTACCATTAATACCACCAGAAGATCCATTCAACAATGCCTTTTCCCCATCATTGCTAGAGAAAGTTCCGTTTTGAGGCGTAGGTACGCCAGACTCTTCGGGAACAGGTAAAGTAGAAGCCGGCCTTACTTCAATTGCGGAGATTTGACCTCCACTACCATCGAAAGCGCGTTTGACTAACCCGGTATTCAAGTCCCAATCCAAAACCTTTTTGTCCCAACTTCCTGATAACACTGATCTCTCGTCGCGAGCGAGGTTCAGTACCGAAACCGCAGATGTATGTTTTGAAAGAACAGCAATTCTCTTCCCTTCATCATGTCGCACCGACTGTAAATTTATGCTTCCAGATTCAAGACCAGATAACATCCAGAGAGCCTCAGATTGTACCGCCAATGAATAGACCGGAGACAACGAAGGCTCCTCTCCTCCAGGGCCTCTAGTTGATTCTTCGTTATCCCAGTAGCTCATGAGTACGCCAGCCTTAACCACACTATCAACGAAAGGATGCCGTTGAGCAACAGTCAGTAATGTTTTGCCATTCACCGTGTCAACACCATTGTACTTCCTTATAAAACAGTCCGAGCCTCCACTGAACCAGTATCTCATGTCAGGTGTCGCGGTAATCGCATTGATCGATGTACTCTGTGGGGCAGCTATCGTAGGTACGATATCGTAGGTAGAAGCAGTTAGTGCTTCGGGCCTAACTTCATATCTGAATCTCGGGGATAATAATGGAGCCGAAATATGTTGCGGCGAGGCGGAAGTCCTTATTAAAGTTGGATGTGGATGTGAGGTAGGTCCCCCACCATTCATTCGCCCCAGCATCGTAATGTCGTTTGAGTTCGAGCTCTGGTTTGAGGTGTGCAGACTTGATCTCTGGATTTGCGCAGGAGAATCGTCTTCACCATCGCCATCGTCTTGGTCATCCTCCCCATTATCGTCGTCATTGTCATTGTCATTGTCATCATCATCCACATCTTCATCTCCATCAGCATCTCCATCCCCGTCTCCATCCCCATCCCCATCCCCATCCCCATCCCCATCCCCATCCGCGTCCCCGTCCCCGTCCCCGTCCCCGTCCCCGTCTCCATCTACTTCAGGGTCTAGGTCATCCGCATCTTCCATCATATCATCTTGTTCATTGTCGGAGCTCGCGTTCGACCCTGGCAGATGCGCGAGTCAGCACTCAATAACATATAGTAGGGGCCGCGACTACCTCGATCGTCGTCATCTAGCGTGAAATCCACCATTTTGATCGCCTACAATCCCCTACTCCACAACCTAAATCTTGGGGTCGAACTAGCAATGAATTCGCGTTGGCGCAAGCTATTTAACTTGAAATCGGTTATGGGCAACGCGGGGCGCACAAGGATATAGCACCAGAGGCTTTGATACTCGGGATTAGAATTGAGGAAGAATTGGGACTTGAACAAGTGAAAGAAAGACTGTGCAGATTTTCCAGACGATTTAAAGCAATTGAGTTCCAAGTAAATTACAATTGATTAAGGTCCTTTGTACAATTGATGATAGTCATATTGAAATAATAGAAGTTATATTGATCCTTGAATTGTAGGATCTTATCATTGAAGACAGGGTTCTGAATACTACCTAGACCGCGAGAAAAGTCATACTAGCGGCCGCATGAACCTTAATTGATGTGTCACGTGGAAATTGCTAGACAACAGTGGACAATCAACCTGAAAAGACTGACTACCTAGCTATGGTACTCTTTATAAATAGAGGTAAATCTACTTTGCGCATCACTCTACATACAAACTTCTTGGGCAGCATCCTGATCTTGCCCTTTGTTGAATCAAGGGACGTGCAACATTGAATTTGGAAAAAGTATAGAGCGACCATTAATTCTAAGCTGCCAATGTCTACGGACCATGACTAGCTTCTGATGAACTTTTCATCCTGCAAATCTCAAGCCTCAATCCATTCTCATTAGTCCCGAGACATATCAACAATTTTAGACATCTCCTAGATTTGACTTTGGGATATGCGCTGTGCTATGGGACATGATTTTGAGCTTACCTTTATGAATATGATCTTGAAGCTATTTGTCCACAATGTTAAGTAAGCGTTTGTTGGTTTGGACAATACTGTAGACTTGATGCATCCATCCTACTGCCGTACGTCTTTTTCAACAGTTTCTAGAGTAATTATTAGTATGGCACCTGGGCACCTGCGCCCGTTTGTTCAAGAGGTAGTAATCAAGGTGAATTGCAGCATACAACAAATCATTATGGTTTGATTTGGAAACTACTAAATTAGATAGGTAAATGGGCTAAATCGAAAAACTACCTTGGTAGGAGCCCAGGTATAATAATCTTTTGTTTGCTTCAAGGTTTGCTTCATTCAGAAAAACAAAGTGTTAATATATGCAGAATCCCGGGACAAATCAAGGCTAGAAATCAGTAGAAAGTGTGCTCCCTTCGCTAGCGGTCCCCCAAGAAGTGTATATCAACTCTTATTTGTATTCATATTTCAGACTTTCAAATTTTGTTTCAGATTTCATTTCCAAAGAACGAGAAGCAGATTTTGAACACTTGTCTGCTAGATCGTGACTACTCAATATTTCTTGCCTCCTTGGAACGGCAGATGTTTCGTCATTTAATTCCGTTTCTCGCTTGCATTTGACTGTTTTGGGAAGGCTCTAGATAAAGTGAATCCTTCCCAACTTTTCTTCTTTGGAAATCCGATCTCACTCTCAAGGCAAAGCAAAGCAACTTCAGAATCTACCAGGTAGTTAAGACTACATATCAAGTACTCCTCGCAAATCGTGGAAGAAAAACTAGCAAGCAGATCAAATTGAATCCTTCTCATGAGATCACTTGCGCATTTCGTGGATAGGCGGTTGCGATCTTCCATCTTCCACAAGATTGCTTGATCGTGGGTAATTGCACCGAAGGCTTCAACACGGGTCCAAGAAATCTCATCTTTCCTTAAAGCTGCAAAATCACTTGATTTCTGGTGGCAGCATTCCAAGTGAGATAATTCAATTCTTTCCAGTTGATTCAGAACGAGAGAAATAATGCTAACTGTCTTAAGGAATTTTCAAGGCCTATGACTCTTGGTATTATCTTCCTCCAAATCAAGTTGGTTTTCAATCAGGGAATCGAGTCACCCTTTCTATTAGCTTGTGTTTGAAACTGAATTCAATTCTTGAACTTTCGCAGCCTTGCGCAACTTCCTTTAATCACTTCTAGCTTGTTCAAAATCCTCGCAGGATATACCGTTATTTTCTGAATAGCAGTCGCTGCAAACTTTACCATTTGCAACGTTTGGTGTTCCGCCCAAACCAGATATATCAATCACTTATACCGGTCCATACTTCGAAATTGTAGTCTACACTGCAAGTATCAGATCCAAGCGTAGAATAGGATTCATGCGCCAAGGTCAGTGAAATTACGTGCCTCGCGCAAAGCAATTAAATATGGACTTTGGCTAACTATTGATTCCAGAGGAAGATAGCCACTATGGTGTACAACAAGTCTTTTGCTCATCAAGTCTTGCGAGAGCATATAGAAAAGACTTATGCGAGGATCAATTTCCGTGAATCATGGAGGAACTTACCCGAACTTCCATCTAGTGAAGAAATCCTTCAGGATGTATCATGGCAAGACACGGAAGCTCCAGAGGAGCCGTTAGATTATCAAAAGCTTGCTGAACCCAAGGAATTCGACCCTCGTCTGCCCCACAACAACATCGATGGAGCTTGGGACTCCAAGGAGGATTATCTTGGTTTTCATTACCAAATTCTACGTGAAGATGCAGTTGCTCCTCTTCGCCAATCTGTCGCGGAATTTAAGAGAAATAATGAAATGGAAGATACACAAGATACTTCAATTTATACTGATGTGCGTCTTTCGATAGTCCAGCGAGCGGCGATGCACTACTTACTCTAATATTTTTACAGGTCCACCTTGTGGGTATACAATTGTGTCATCTCGGTCCGGCATTCCGAATCGAATTCTCAAGCGATAGAGCTGGAAAACGGATTCGGTGGGAGCAGTCGAGCCGGCTCACGCAGGGCAGCCTGGTCTGCTTGAGTCCAACTAGCGACATGTTTCGTACTGTTTGCAAAGTTGGTACTGTTGCAGCTCGGCCTATAGAAGGTGGTCTAGATCGTGACCCTCCACAAGTTGACCTTTTCTTTGGTGACGATGAAGATATAATCTTGAATCCAGTGGATTGTAAGTTTTATTATTTTTAAATTTGGCAAAAGCTAATATTTCTGATAGCATATGTCATGATACAGGCTCGTGTCGGATTTTTTGAAGCTTACCGCCATGTGCTTGTAGCACTTCAAAAACTGACCACTGAAGAATCGTATGTAGATATAACTTGCGAAATACCCTAAAAAAAAACTCAAGACTAACGAGAACAGACCATATATTGAAAAGTATCTGATTCAACTAGACAAGAATATTTTACCACCTGATCATATCAAGGAAAGACCTTATCTTGACCTTCGCTCGATTGCTATATCGAGTAATGAACATCTTTCTGCTCTCACTGACGAAGAAGAGGAAAATCTATGCCATGTTGACGTTTTGAAAGAGTTTCCAAATCTTCCCAAATCAGGAATGGATGATTCTCAGCTCGCGGCTTGCAAGCGCATGCTCACTCAGAGTTTAGCAATAGTACAGGTAAAAATTTCATATTCAATCATGCCAAGGTGTTTTTTGAAATTCTATGAACTAACTTTTTATCCCGTCTGTAGGGTCCACCAGGTACTGGTAAGACATTTACTTCCATTCAAGCCCTGAAGGTTATGCTGTGCAACAGAAGAGATGGACCGATCATTGTCGCTGCACAGACTAATCATGCTCTTGACCAATTGCTCACCCACATTTCCGGCTTCGAAGATAATTTCGTGCGTCTTGGAAGTAGATGTGATAAGGGGAATGCTACCATACTAGCACGAACTTTGTATGAGCTGCGTCAGACGAATAAAGATATGAAAGCTAGACATTTCACTGGCTACAGATCGGCTGCCAATGCACACGACGCTATGGTTCTCTCAATCGAGAAATTACTTTCTGATATCACTGAGGAAGATCTTCTATCAGGCAGAGTTCTGCTGGAATGCAATATATTGAGTCAGGAACATTTTGACTCTTTTTTCGAACCTGGCTGGTCAAGCTCACTAGATGAGGGTGATGAGAGTATCGACCCTCTCCTATCTTGTACGTATTGAAGAGCTCAAGACAATCGCTGATCTCTACTTACTCGAATTATAGGGCTTGGGGCTGAACAGATAGTGCGTATGCCGAGGACACCAGGAATCAACAGGAATCTCGAGATAGAGGACCCCGATCAGGAGTTCGAACAACTACAAGAAGTTGAAGTTGAAGTCCAAGCAAAAGAAAACAAGGAGTCTCTTAGCGGAACATGGATTCCATTGAGGCGTGGCTATACGGGCAAAGTTAAGAGCCGCCGATTCAAGGGCAAAAACGACCCTAGAAATATACTCGCCAAAACTGAAAGTCTCTTTGACATACCAGAAAAGTATCGTGGTGCCGTTTATTGCTACTGGGAAAAGCTTTACTATGATCAACTTACACGTAAGCTTAGTGAGAAATTGGCTACGTACCAAAACTCGATGAGATCTTTAAAGATGGCAAAGGTACTCTATTCATTCTCAAAATGGTCTAGTATGTCGTTAACAGAATTAGTGGACGCGCGATGTCGAATTCATTGATCATATTGGCACTAAGGTTATTGGATGTACAACAACTGGTTTGTCGAAATATAGGGGACTACTATCCGCTCTGAATCCCAGCATCCTACTCATTGAAGAAGCGGCAGAAACTTTAGAAGCAAACGTGACAGCAAGCATTATACCATCGCTGGAGCAAGTTATACTTGTAGGGGATCATCGTCAACTCACGGCAAATACAACACTCGACCGCTTTATGTCGCACCCGTATTTTATGTCAATATCCTTATTTGAGAGACTTGTGAATAATGGTATGGGCTACACAATGTTGAACAAGCAACGTCGTATGATCCCAGAGGTCAGAGAGCTTCTATGTATTGACCCGGAGCCATTCTACGTCAATCTTCATGACCACCCTAATGTTCTCGACCGAGTCAACCATCGGCCCCCGGTTCCTGGCATGAGATTTGATTCATTCTTCTTCTCTCACAGATGGCAGGAGCGAAGAGATGTCAACATGAGTTGTTACAATGCACCGGAAGCTGAAATGGTTGCTGGGCTCTTCAATTACTTAGTCATCAATGGTATTAAGCCAGACAAAATCACTGTATTGACGGTAAATAATAGTGCTGATGTCTTCATACGATATATCACTGACATATCTTTAGTATTACAACGGTCAACGAAAATTACTCCTTAAGGAGCTTAGTCGACGTGTTACAAGCGTCATAGCGCCATACTTTAAGGTATACACCGTTGATGCATATCAAGGCGAGGAGAATGAAGTCATCTTGCTATCTTTAGTAAGAGGTAATCCTTTCAATTCGGTAGGATTTTTACGGAGCAAGAATCGTGTAGTTGTGGCCTTGTCCCGTGCACAACGAGGTCTTTATATCTTTGGAAATGCACTTACTGTTGCTGGACAAGAAGGTGAAAATGGTTGTCGAGAGAAGTTATGGATACCAATTCTCTTGCATCTGTTAGATGAGGAAAGATTTGCGTCTAATCTGCCTATTGTATGCTCCAAGCATCACAACCTCACGCATGTCTCTGAGCCTGAACATTGGGAGGATCTAAGCGGTGGCTGTCATGAACATTGTGGTGGCATGTTACCATGTGGGCATTTATGTCCATATAAGTGTCATCCAACTCAGCATGATCAAATTTTCTGCAAGGAGCCTTGTGAACGGATCTTGGCCTGTGGTCATGCTTGCAGTACCGATTGCGGAGACTTTTGCCGGTGCGATGAGTGCCGTGCATTAGCTCGCTTGCAGACTCTTGAGCTAGAATCTGTTTCACGAGAAATCATCAGCGAAGAAAGAAATGGAAAAAATGCAGAGAAAAACACCTCTACTAAGCAAATACAACGTTCACCACAAAAGTTCTTTTCTGAGTCCTCGAGTCGCCCGACGACATTCAAGCAGACCTCTCCCAAGAAATTAGACCAAAAAATTGGCCAGAGCAATTCATACACACAGTCCACTTCAGACCAATCAAATGGTGAAAAGCCGTATTATAAATTTGTATCATCACCTCAAAAGCGAGAATTGTCACCAGAAAAGGGCCGTCATGCTTGGGATACCTGGGATCCGGTTCGCTCAGACAATGAGATTAACCAAGAACGTCTTGAACGGGAAATGTTAGCCAGCGAGAGTAACCCCAATCCGGAGGACTTGGTCTTTGAAGAGACTCATAAGCCAGTTACGTTTGTTAATGGAAAGAGAGTTGTTGGTCCTAGAATCCAAAATATCATTCCTCGTATACAAAGCAGTAATGCTATTTCTGGTAACGAAAATGAGAATCCTAGCAGTGGAAATGAGATTCTTGGTAACGATAATGCGATTACTCTCGGAAATAATGGGATTTCTAGCTCCGCTAACAGTGTCATTCCTAACAACGATGAAGTACCAAACCACATCAGGAAGGTTATACATACTACCAACGGAGTCACTTCCAGTAGCGACGTTACTAGCAGTAGCAATGGAATTGGTTCTAGCAGTAATGGGGCTGTTACCAACAATGGAATTACTGCTCCTCAAGGATCGGGAGGCGAAATGCTTAATTTTACGAATGATGATTTTGTCTTTTTGGAGGGCCTGTAAATTTTAAAGTTGCTAGTTAGTATCTAGAGATGTATCAGATCAACTTTGCTGTCACTTCCCTATTTTTTTTCCGCTCACCTGGAGTTCTCCAAACTTTGATGCTTAATATTTCCAGCGACTTCACTTCAAGTACTATATAGAGAATAACGACTCGCTGCTTGCTACTTGTTAATCTTACTTGAGATTTGTTCGTTATGCATGGTTGGTCATTTGATAATTCTGACTTTTCACGTGTACATACCTGCCTATATAGGATTATATATAATTAAGATCTTAAGTATCCACAAACAAAATCACTTCCTCTCACTGATTCACACATCACACATAAAATATAATCACCATACTCAATTTCATTCCATTTTAGCAGCTATCTGTAAATACCTTGTAGGCCTAGCTAGCTAGGTAATTAATACAATATCTTAAGATTACACATCTAGAAAGGTATTTTTAAGTTTTAATTTATTTGATATTTGATGTGAGGGATGGATTTTAGATAATGGGTGACTAGGTTAAATTGTTAAGTATTGATAGATAGATAGGAATTAAAAATTTATAGTTTAAAATATGAAGAAGTGGAAGGAGTAGTAGATATAGTAGGAGTAAGAATTTTGACTAAAAAGGTTTGGATGAGTAATTAGCAATTAAACCTGATTCTAAGTAGATAATTACTACTAGGTAATTATATATGATTTTCACTAATGGATGGATGGATGGAGTATTTTCGTTTCGTTGTAAATCTGCAACCTAAATATATACTACCTAGATATAGTAATCGCACCACAGCAATGATGAGTAGAGCGAGAGAGAGACTATAAATAATAAGTAAATCAAGGGAAAGAAGGGAGAGAAAGCGCAGACCAAATAAAGCAGTCAAAGTTCTAGAATGAGATCTGTAATCTAATTACCGACATATTTACATCTGTAACTACCTAGGTATCTAGTATTTCTACTACTACGTGCATTTCTTCCGCAACCTAGTGACCAGCCATAAATCTATGATCTTGTACGACCTTAGCGGCCAAATGAACCTGACCCCCGGCGGCTATTCTGTCACGATTATATCTGAATTCGGATTTTTTCTTCAAAAGCTTCCCCAAAGACTTTCTCCTTCGTCTTCTTCTCGAACTCGTGTCTCCGTATCTCCTTCTCCATATTCTCAATTTAGTTTCTTCGGGTTTTCCAGTCTGAAGACACACATGACCTGTATATGTTTGATAGGTGATTTCTCCTCGCAGGAAGGTCTTGTATCTTTTGATTATGGCGGGAACTTCTTGGAATGCCCATTTTGCGTGGTATTTGGAGAGGACTTGAGATGGTCGGTAGATGAGATAATTGATCCATTCTCGCATATACATCCTGCTAATTTTCAATTTGAAGTGATGGAATATGAAGTCTCTTTGGCGGATGCTTGTCACTACAGAGTCGGTCTTTCGTCGCGTTAGACTGTTTTCGTATAGGATTCTGTAATGATTTGATCGGCGGACCAATTCTTTATGTAGTTGATGAGCTTCAGCAATGAGTACTTGGGCTTTTCCAAATTTTCGGGTAGAGAGTAGGTGGCGAATGTAAATATTGTACATGGAAATATTAGGTCTGATGTTGTAAGGTTCCGAAATCATATTGTCCCAAACTCTGTCCATGCTGGCCGAAGGTAGCATTCCTTCGCCAAAACCTCTTTCACGTTGAGCAGCACTTGGCCGTTTCTTAGCAAAAACTGCAGTCCATTCCAATAGATCTTGCCAAGTTTCTTTCGAAATTTCGATTGAATACTTCCGTGATACTTGGTCAATTACATTCATAGCCGTTGGTAAATTGTTGTTTATGCAATAGATATGGGCGATGGTACGTAGTAATCTTTGAGATGGATGTAATGGAGAATCCGGAAGGCGTGCATTGAGTTTTGAACCCTCACTACTCTTCGATTCGATGTCAATTTGCCACACCCGTTTGAGAATTGTTTCAGCAGTCACAAGATCTCCCTCCCGACTCGCAGAGACCATCAACAAGCAAAATGTCTCCTCATTCCCCATCAAGCCAACAGCTGACATTTCTTGGAATAGTCGACTGACCGAAATCCTGACTCCATCATCCGGGCCTATTCGGTGTCGACTGAGCTGATGAGGTCTGTCGCCCCATTGACGAAGTTCTTTATAATGGGAAATGACTCTTAATCTGTCAGAATGGTAAGGACTGAGAATATCTGACCAACACATAGTAGCCATGTAATAATTAAAACATTCCACATCTGGTAGAACTTGTCTGCTTCCCATGACCTGATACCGATTAGACATCATAGACTTCCATGTTAAATCCGCTACTGCTTGATGCCCTGTAAATTTTGCAGCTTTAAGAAGCATCTTGTATTCGGAAAGGGACAGTGGATATCTAATCTGGCGTTTCATAATAATTCGATGCAAGTGCCAAAGATAAACAGTGTAAGCGCGATGGGTTCCATCATAATCGACCGTATCAATCCTCATCTCCAATAATTCTTTGTGCTTGAAACTATGCAATAACCGTTTTTGTCTTCCGAAAAAATGTTTGGGATCCAATAGTCTCAGGATTTCAGAGAAAGTATTTGGGGAAATATCCAGCAAAGGGGAGTGATTCACGCCAAAATTATCCACGTCAGAAAGTTTCACTAAAACTCTAAGAAGTTCGTGGGGATCTCGTAATTGAAGTGCTCTAAGCACATTTTTGTATCCAAGAACCATTTTTGCTTCCTTGAGGAGAATTCTTCGTTGGGCGAGACTGACGGGTAATCCAACCCCAACTTTTCGAATAACAGAGACCATGTCAGATTCATTGGACGATTCATTTTTTTCTCTTGTTGTCGGGATTTCGAGTGGATAGATATCTCCATATGCTTCTTGACTTTGGGATTTCTCTGTTGCATGCTTTCCAACCCACCAATCTTTTAACTTTTCTGGTTTACTCCATGCTGGTATCATCCATTCCGGCGTTTTGAAATAAGTCTTCACATCTCGGAATTTGTTCCTTATCTCATATCTTCTCCAATATTCATGTTTTGGTGCTTGCAATCCATCATTTGTGGCCTCATTCCCCTCCTCCGATTGATCGACTCCGGTCTCTTCTTGAATGTCCGATTCTCCCGGCAGAGACTTATCGTGACCATTTTCTGGACCTCTGAATTCGTATAAACATCTTTTCCCATAATATGATCTGCCAAGTTTTGTAAATGAATGTGTGGTATAGAGAGTTGCAGCGATTGTGGACTTGCGCGTCTCAAAAGCGCGCAAGAAAGGTCCCATCAGGTATGGTTTTGTAAACCATCATTCTCCCTTCCTTTCCTTCCTTTACTCGCATTGACCATGTAATTGATGATCAATTATCATGAAATCCGGGGAAAGCTGGGGAAAGTTCAAAAGGGTCCACTTGGTGTTGTTGATGGCGGGAAGTAAAAAAGTTATTTCTTAGATTTGGTGGACGTGGGACTTGGTGGACTTGGCTTGGTCTTGGTCTTGGTGGCTTGTGGGTGATTTTCGGTAGAATATAATTTGAAATTTTTAGTGAGGGCCGGAAGTTGCCGTTTAGGTTATCCAAAGCATCAACCTCCATGCGATTTGAAGATTACTGGGTAATTAATTCAGCACGATAAACATCAACTCACTCCCATCCGCATAAACAAAACAAATATGGCAGATATTGATGATGGTACATCTGCACCAGCCGAACCCCTTGATCTGGTGCGACTTTGTCTTGACGAGGTTGTTTATGTTAAATTGAGAGGAGATAGAGAATTAAAAGGAAGGCTTCATGTGGGATATACCCTTGCAAGAACTCTCAGAGGGTTATACTGATAGTTAGTAGGCGTATGATAGTCATTGCAATTTGGTATTGGGTGATGTGGTAGAGACCATATATGTTGTGGAGGAGGGTGAAGAAGATGATGAAGAGGAAATCATAAAGGTTGGTCTATATTCTATTGACAGGTGCTTCTGGCTAACTCTTGCTCAGACCGTTGTTAAAAAATCCGAAATGTTGTTTGTTAGAGGTAAGTTACTTGAGCTTGGAATTGGTCATTGTGCTATATCTAATATTCTTTCAAATAGGCGACAGTGTTATACTTATTTCACCCAGATCTTCATAATATCACATAACGAAATCTCACAATACGATGGAAGGTAGACATCTACTGGAGAGGAAACTGCCACATTAGAAGAACCCATGAAGGATGGAGTAATCGGAACTACGGAAGCCAACAAAAGGGCAAAATTTCACAGCAGGCTGGCTACAATTACCAAAATTCGATATCTCCATAGGCCATGAAGGATAAATAGGCGCGAGAAGGAAACACGAATAATACATGCAAATACTTCAGTCAAGATACGCGGATTCGAGTGGATGTGAGCTTGTGGTGCTGTGAGTGCTTGAATATATCTAGCATTTCCGCACTTGGTGCACTGATATCTACGGGGCTGTTCATTCGGGATTGCGTAGTCTAGGATACTGTGAGTTGTTGCACTGGGTACTTTCTGTTGATGCATAGTTGCATTGATTCTCCCGCAATGCCTTCATCGAAGAACTCCGTGGGATTTCCTTCGAGGTGGTTAGTCCTGAACAAGTTTTATTGCGCAGCTGAGATGCGCCAACTCTTACTGTACTCACCAATCATCTGCAATGCTTATTACGAGCAGTTAAATGTCGAAGCGAAGTACATTTACAGGGCATGGAAAGGCTCCAGATATGCCAGAGGAGAGAATGTGTCAAACTATAGCTCGTGGTTTTTGGATCTCATAACATCGGAAGATAACACTGGTAGCTCCCTGTGATAATGCTTCCTTCCATTGACATCATACGCATCTTCAAATAGCTATTCCTGGAGCGTATTGTGGACTTTAACATAGCGATTTTATTATTGCTCTGGGAGAGCAGCCAGCATGACATTTTCGCGCCAATGACCATTGTATCTCACAAAATTAATTGATATACGCACAATTGCTTTTGAAAGAAGAAATTCGCATGAATATGTAAAAAGTTTCAGATATTATACAGTTTGCATCTGCGCATGTACAGGATAAGCTTAAGCTATTGTGGGGTTCTGGAGGTTCTAGAGGTTCTTGAGCCTCATGCGTCACTTGTGCTCCGTAAGGCTACTTGCTATCCAATACATATATATCTAGTGTTCAATAATATTTACCATTATCACAACTTTTGAGGTTATTACTTACAATTCAAATGGAGATTTACCAAACAGCTTTTTTATGGGAGTCATAATAGACAAAGAGTACCTATCAAAACCTCGGCCTCTAAATATGACTCAAGGATCAATGATTCATTCATCTAAAGTTCTCTTATCGATAAAGCTTCACTCCAGACTTCACACCGAACAGTCATCACTTACAGTAACTCACACTTAAGAACTTGTCTCCCCCTTTGTGACTCTTTCCCATTATATTCACTATTCCTCAGTATTGTTTTATTCTAATATTGCTTCAAAGTATTCTCCCATGATCCTTCGGATATAACATAAGTAAATTGAGTTATTGCCACAGTACTTTACTAGAAAGCAGGCAAACGAAACCATGACTTCAAAAGGCAAACAGCTTCCACATGAGCGGCGGAAAGGCGAATCTGTACTATACCCTTTGGCAGTTTGTTTCGTATCTCTAATGAAGAATAGGCTCTCAGTGAATTCGCGGAATATGTTGAAAAGCAACAAGCACTTCGATATCCCTCTCATTCTACTGCCAGTTCAACCACAGCAGGTCCATCAACCACCGCATCATCTACCACTTGTGTCGAGGATCATGCCGAGCTTACGGATATCTTAAATTCTCTTGATATAGCAGATACTAGTCCTCAAGTACGAATAAAAGATCTACTGCTCTCAACTGAAGACGAGAAATTGACGGTCCTTCAAAATGTGTTGGAGATGCGATTGGAGGAGGGACATGGAGAGACTATCTTTGAGATTGGATTCGAGAATAACGGTGATATAATGGGAATGAACAGAGAGGAGTGGGATGTTGCTCTTAAAAGATTAAGAGAAGCTGCAGGGAAATGTAATAGTGATTGTCAAGTACTTTTGACAAAAGGAGTGGGTGGCGAGGTAGAGGGCGAGAGTGGAGAGTCAAAAGAAAAAGATTGTACAGGAAAGATTCTAATACGACAACATCCTGCTAGTGTGGAAGAGGTCATCGAGACAAGAATTGCCGTGGTAGGAAATGTTGACGCGGGCAAAAGTACCATGTTAGGTGTATTGGTGAAGGGTGGATTGGATGATGGAAGAGGAAAAGCAAGAGTCAATCTCTTTCGACATAAACACGAAATCGAAAGCGGAAGAACTAGTTCTGTGGGAATGGAAATCATGGGTTTTGATACCATGGGGAAAGTTATCGCATCCGATGTTCCAGGGAGAAAATTATCATGGGAAGAAATTGGTAAACGATCAGCGAAAGTTATCTCCTTCACCGATTTGGCTGGTCATGAACGATACTTACGAACCACCGTCTTTGGACTTCTATCTTCATCCCCAAATTACTGTTTACTGATGGTCGCTGCAAATAATGGTCTCATTGGTATGAGTAAAGAACATCTCGGTATCGCCCTCGCGTTGAATGTTCCAGTTATGGTTGTCATTACCAAAATTGACATTTGCCCTCCTCAAATTCTTGAACAAACCATCAAACAAATTACTGGAATATTAAAAAGTCCTGGAGCAAGGAAAATTCCAATTTTTATCAAGAATCGAGAGGAATGTATTAATACCGCCACTCAATTCGTCAGTCAACGGATTTGTCCAATCTTCCAAGTATCTAACGTCACTGGAGAATCTCTGGATCTCGTTCGAGCATTTCTTAATATTCTCCCTCATCATGGTCATTATGATGCCGAGGCACCTTTCGAATTTCACGTCAATGATACCTTCTCTGTTCCATTCGTAGGAACTGTAGTATCAGGGATTGTCAAATCAGGTGTTGTCCACGCCGGTGATACTGTACTCATTGGACCCGACTCATTAGGTCAATTTACAACCACAACCATTCGTTCCATTGAACGTAAACGCATACCAGTCCCAGCTACATCCGCTGGTCAATCAGCCTCTTTCGCACTGAAACGAGTTCGGAGAAAAGATGTTCGAAAGGGAATGGTGGTTCTTCCTAAACTCGAACATAATTCCCCTAAAGTCTATCGAGAATTCGTCGCGGAAGTTTTGATTCTTTCCCATGCGACCACTATCAAGACGAAATATCAGGCGATGTTACATGTAGGACCCGTTAGTCAAACATGTGCCATAATTGATATTGATCGAAGTTATATCCGAACAGGTGATAGGGCAACAGTTGCTTTTCGATTTGTGCAAAGACCTGAGTACTTGGCTCCGGGTGATAGATTGTTGTTTAGAGAAGGTAGAACGAAAGGATTGGGAATCGTGAAGAGTGTAGGTTATGATCCGGCAAAACCGTTAGGAGGTGTTAAACCTGAATCTGAAGGTACAGACACGGAACCTGTAAAGACGGATGTCCCAGCTGAGGAATCAAAAGCTACTTAGGGTTTGGTGCAGGGGTAGATTATGTTTTAATGTTTTATTGTATCACTGGGAGCTGGTGGTCAGAGTCATGCGAAAGACAGAAGATGCTGATGCTGATGGTGTATCGTAGAGATGGGATCACCGGATAGATAGATACTTGTGGTCGTGTCTTACATCTTCATTACTTGCATGGTTTGTTTGGAGATGAGTTTATGAATTTATGAATTATTGTTGTCTAGATACTTTTCAGCGTGCGAAGTAAAATGTATATGCATATGCATACAGCGAATATAGATACCAAAAATACTCTGTTGGATTTTTATCAAGTTTTATGATTAATACCTACCTAGCTTTAGTCTGGTTATTTATTCTGGTGGAATATTTAAGATGTGTGATTATTACAGCTATATCATATGAGTAGTGGGTAGGTATGTAGGTATGTTTGTATTAAGTAGGTACTAGGTATTTTCAGCATGTAGAATCTAGAAACTTAGAAACTTAGAAACTCCGAAACTAGAATCTAAGATTACCTGGTAGAGTAGATCTAGAATTCGAGAGATTATAAATCTTAGATACAATATCAACTTTCTAATTCAAATTCTAATTTTGGATTTTTCTATTTTATATCTAGAAATATATTTGTAAAATAAGTAGGTATTCAAAAACTTTTATCCAAGCGACAAGTCAAGTCAAGCCACCTCCGTTGTAGTAGGTAGTAGGTAGTAGGTAGTAGGTAGTAGTAGGTTTTTTAGTATAAATGTGAATGTGAATGTGAACCACGTGATGAACCCGTCCATGTAAGGGTCGCTCCTATGACGTAGGAATATGTGGGAATAGGAATAGAAAATGCGGGGTACAGATACAGATACAACGTCATTTTGGTATCATATTAAGATCAAGATCATCTACATACTACGAGTAGGTATGCATGTGTTTCATGCGTTGAGTTTTTTTTGATTTTTGTGTGTATTTGTGTGTATTTATATTTTTGGAATGTTTTTCTTGGGTTTATTAATATACCTATGAGATGTTGAGAAAGTGCTGGTGTTTGGGAGTAGGTAGGGTGGGTGGGTATATTTTGATTGGTAGGGTTTTAATTTTTTTTTAATATACTTAACCCCTACTCGATGCTCATTCATATCGTTGTGTTACTGGAGGATGAATGAAGAGATGATGGAATTCTCCGAGAGTAATAACTACCTATGGTGGTACAAACCAATAACAAAAAACTAAGAACAAGGACAAGGATTTAGGAAACTTTTCTTTGTTGGCTTGAATTGTCCAATTAACTAAGTTAAGTGGTTTCACTATTTGTCTATACCGGGAGGATTGAACCAATGGAGATTAGAGTGGTTATTCCCACTACGTCAGTTTGGCGTTTGTGATACTTTTACTTTTACTCTTTACTTTACTTCTTGTTTTTTTTTTCTTTCCCATCTTTGATGATGGGATGATGGGATGGTATGAGGGAATGATGATGATGATGATTGGGTTGTGCATTGGGTTTTGGGTTTTGTATAGGATAAATGAACAAAGGTCTGGAATTCAGGTTTTCTCTACTTGCTTTTTTCTTGTTATACGTCCGTACTTACTCGGGGGAGATTACATATATATTACTTACTACATATATATGTAGGTACATACATAGCTTTATACCTTTATCAGATCTTTGATAAAAGAGAAATAATACATACGTCCATACATCCCTCCATCCATACATACATACATACCTCGCCAAACAAATAAATTTCTTTGATAAATCTCAATCCCACATTCCAACGAAACTTTACAACTTACTCATCCAAAGGGCAATCCCAATCCTCAACATCAAAATCGAAATCGAGATATCGCAAAGCAGAAATTATGGATACGGTTAATAATACGGTTAATAATATCGCGGCGGCAGCTTCGAAAGTTATTTGGGGTGAACCTCAGGAAACTACTGATGCGGCGAATGCGACGGTGGTTCCAGAGACGAAAGGGACGGAACCGCTTAGTGGGGAGTTGGGTGATACGTTGAAGGGGGAACCTTATGATAAGGGGAATTTAGGTTGGTTTTTTCTTCTTTCCTTTTTTTTCTTTTTGTGCGGTGATGCGGGTGTGGATGTAGATGAGGATGAGGAGGAGGAAGAAAGAAGTGATGAAATAAATGAAATAAATCAACAGCTAGATCGATAAAACGAACTAACCCATCCACCAGATTCCACCAACACCGACCCAATAAGCACAACCAAAACCACAAACCCCGATCCCTCCACCACCCTATCACCCCCCGGCCAAGCCGCCAAAACCATCGACCCCTCGCGCGCCTCCTCCACCTCCGATATCATCGCCAAAACCCTCTCCGACACGCACATTGCACCTCTATCATCCGAAAACCCCTCCACGACCAGTTTTAAAACTTCTTCTGAGAAACCTCTAACATCAGCTGAGAAACCATTGATTTCTGAGAGGATTAATCCGAATTTACCTCTTCGATCGGGAAATCAGTCGGCTCGAGTTGGTGATGCGGGGATTTTGGGTGCATCTACTGGGGGGGATAAGGGATTAACTCCCGGAAGTCGAGTTGGAGATGGAGCAGAGAAACCAAGTAGTACATCTAATGAGCAAGATGTAAAAACGGATTTAAAACCTTTGAGTGGGGAGAAGAAAGAAAGAGAAGAAGAAAAAGAAGAAAAAGAAGAAAAAGGAACAGGAGAAAAACATATCCCGACAACAGGTACAGTAGCCGAGGGAGGAAATTTCGACGCTACGAAACCTGGTGCGGGAATCGAGGCAGATAGGTTGTTGGGGAAGGAGGGGAAGACGGAGAAGATGGATGCGGGGGTTAGTGGGGGGACGGTTGGGGGGACTTTTACTGGGGGGGAGGAGGGAGGTAGTGGGTTGAGTGAGCAGGGTGAGGGAGGTGGTAGTGAGGAGGAACATGAACATGAAAATGATCATGAACATGGGGAGGGAAAGAAAGAGGGAAAATTGACGCATTTGAAGGAGAAGATTAAGGGGAAGTTGCATAAGCATTAGGTGGGGGGGATAATGATGTGGTAGGAGGTTGAATGTGATGATATTTATGAGTTTGGATTTGGGATTCGGTGCTAGGTTTTTCATTTTTGTTTGACTTGGGAGAGATTATTTTATGTTTTCATGTGCTATGAATGATATGAGCGGATATGATAATTTTGGAATTTTGGAATTTGAAGTTTTAGCGGGATGAAAATATAATGAAATTAAATGTCATAAAATGCAATGCAATGAAATTCCATATACTTATTTTTATTTATTCGCCTACTCATGATGTGAGATTACTATATTACTATATTAATATATGAAATTCATTTTCCTCTTGTTATTTTTTTGGTTCTATAGTTATGATTTACTTACCTAGTAAGTTCACCATATACTACATAGTTAAAGGTAATCTTATCTGCTTTTCATCACAGTTTTGAAGTAGTATCCTATCTCCCTACCTAGCTATCTAGTATATAAGAATCAGAAAATCACAGTAGCATATTATTAAAGTAAAAAGTGTTGATTTATTCCAGGAGCTCAATTTCCATCCATTCTTTCATTTATTACACAAGGTATTCTATTCTCCCAAGCTGGATACAGCCACAGTGATAATTCAAAAGGAGACAGGTTGTTTGATTATTCGAGCTACCTATCTCTCCAGAACATATCTATTCAAAATGTCCCTTAACATGATGTGCGACCCCCCCAGGATCCCCTTCAAACTCTCCACAAACAGGACAAATATTCACTGCTGATTTGAAAATCTGTTCAGATCTCTCCTCCCCTACCTCCCCATT